ACCAATCAACTCGTTTCTCTCGCTGAGGATCTAAGGGCATCCAAATGTCGCTGCAAATAGTTGAGGTAAAGAGAATACATTGGCTTCAACAGGGCTCAATTACGAAAGGTGTCCCCTAACCTTTCTACCAAGCAGCGCACTTACCTGACAGGATGAGGCGAGAAGCCTATAAATATGAACTCTGCCCCGGCAATTTGCTCTACAACTTATTCACTTGACTCTGCAAACTCGAACATGCTTGTGTCTGAGTCACTCGATAAGTTCTCCCCTTTTGACCCGGTGCTGAAATTTCCACTGTGCTGACCTTTATAGAATACATCGTGGATTAGCAAGCCAGACAGTGCCCGTGAGAGATACAGGTATGATTCCCACCAGATGCACTGCCACTCACGCCAGCCGATTAAAGATGTATATGCAACGATGCCTCCGCCATAGCAGCCGACTGAGCTGATCTACTGTACAGCCTCTGTGTATTTCCGAGAGAAAGCGCGATTACCCACGTCGAGTTATGTGAGTCTTAGCCTGACCTGTCTCAATGATTCTGAAGACGATACGATTTCAATAGAATCGAGGACAATTGACCACAATACACGAGCGCAAGAGCCACAGCTCTTTGCCGTCTCTTCGTCCCTAGTTTTGGCCACCGAGAAATGTGAGTCATGGATCATCTCGCGAATCTACAAGCTAATGAACGATAGTGAACCATTGACATCGCACCAGCGGGCCCCGAGGACACAGCATCCTCGTTAGTATTCTACGTCAAGCCATGGCTTAGACACTTTTCCCGGCCCCATCGCTTCAAATCGCGCAACCTAAACCTGGCTAAGTATATAAACCAGAGGAGCGGGCCAATAACAGGTGTGGAAATCCGATTGCGAGCTTCGCTGCATAAAGGCTGAGACGTTTCCTGGTAATGTGAGTGATTTATCGCGCCTTCCGCTGCGCTATTTCCATTTTGTTGTGCAAACTTTTGTGCTCCAAAAAAACGAACACCATTACTGATTCTAATGCCATTGTACATAGGAGCAGCCCATTGCCACTGAAACATCCATGATGGGACTTCTATCGCCGGATCGCAGATAAGACCAAGCTGGCACCACGACGCGTGCTGCATCGCGTCTTGCGCCTCGACCTCACCGCCTTCACACCACAGGTGGTTCGTCACGCGCCTTTGGCTCTCAGAAGTTGCCCGGTGCACCCAGCGCGGCTTATTCGAAGCGACAGCCGGAGAGTGCGACGAACTGGAGACAACATCATGTCAACACGGCATGGGTGGCGACTGCATTGATGAAGACATTTGTAAGTGATCTCGCCGGTAAGATATAACCACGAAGCTAATTGATCGTTTCGTGTCAGGCGAACATTCTGCGAACTTTATGAACAGGTAAGTTATAAAATCTCGCCCAAGTGGTGAGCTTGCTGACTCGGATCGTACAACAGCGCCCCTCATATCCCCGTCACTCGAGTCGAATGCGAAGCGAGCAATCTTATATACTCGAGCTCCTCTAGACCGATGCGATCGCAAGCTATCTGTCCCTTCCTCATGACCACTGGTGGCATGGACGAGGAATGACTGGAATGTTCACATCGTCTCGGTCCTTCTCTCAGTCGACACTATGCATCAGTCCTCGGTTGGCATCTCGCGTCTTTTCAGTCCTGGAACTCCAAAATACCGAGGAATGATGGTGGTTTTTTTCACAGCCCGGCCTTTTTGAAGCAACGGCGGGAGAGTGCGATGAACCAGAACACAACATGGCATGAATGGTGCTGCATTACCTTGCCGAAAAGGATTGTAAGTGATCCATTTGGTGAGCTCATTTGGCCACGCAGTTCACTGATCATCTCGTCTCAAGCGTACATAACGTGCCCTCTGCAAACTCTATGAATAGGTAAATCATAACAACCCGTCCTAGTGGTAAGCCTTGCTGACTCGTATCATACAACAGGACGCCCTCATTTTCTCTGCTCGAGCCCACCTCCACCGATGCGATCGCATATTGTCTATCATTTCCACATAACTACTGCGGCATCGATGGTGAGCCAACGTAAGGTCCAGATCGTCTCGGCCCTTCTCTCAGTCGACTCTGTATCAGTCATGTGCTAATGTGTCTACCCGATACAAGGCTCAGGCCACAATGGGCCTGTACTACCGTGCTTTGGCATTCGAACACCGCGAAAGGACAGCCTCCTTGTGGATCAATTTCCTGATGTCCAATGGGTGATCCTCATTATCCTCGATTCGAATCTCACATGCCTGGCAGCTTGACAGGCACCGGGGTGAGCTCATGTTTCAGTCTGACTCATGGCGGACGAGTCCTACTTTTGCCGACGAGCATGCTTTGAGTCTAAGTCTGCGTACAACGAGAAGGTGAGGCGAGGCTCCCATCATTCGAGCCTACCAATTAACATTGTCCATATCAGGTACGAACCGATAAAGGAGACGGTAGGATCCCGAGTCATAGCCCAGTCAACTATAGAGCCACGAGCAAAGAGATGGCGTCTGATAGATTCACCAGATCTTACTCCGCGTTGCTGGGCGGTCAACGTATTCCAGTGGATGGAACCGACAAATGGAAACGAGCGAGCGGGAGAGACCAGCCGGACATACACGGCGCAGCATCGAAGGCACTTTCAGGCCTCCTGAGGCGTCTTTGGACAGATCTTGGTATCCTTGATGCCTAGGCACACTCTATTTTTTTTTTTTTTTTTACCCAAGTCAGAGCAACATCTACAACATCCTGGATCAATTGCTCGTTGACTGACGAGATTGCCGGTTCTGTTGCTAATTCAACGCCATTGGCCTCTGGTTCCCCATTGCCCTGATGGTGGCCTTGGGTAGAAGTCTCGGTAGTAGACGGCGGCAGATTTTGTAGATGTTCACCCCCGCGCTTCCTTTGTTTGTTTCCTCGAGGCCACTGCAGCTGCAGGTCAGTAGTGCGTCCTCTACATCGAATTTCCTTGAGCATGACTTATTTACCAGGCACTGCGCTTTGACGACATTTGACATATCGTCGTTCGAGCTGATCCTTTGTGAAGTTGGGTTTCTGCACAAATTTGCTCAGAGCCATCCTCTGTGCGACCTCTGACTATTATGACAGCCTATGCTAACAGCTCTACCCCTAATCGGCATTCATACGATTGCTTTCGGCGGGGTTGGTTACGCGCATGTCTGCTGCGGCCCCAATCCAAGTAGATCGCATCACCAAAGTCCGTCGTAAATACTGGCGGAATCGTCTTTACCAGATCTGGTCAAGATGGTGCTTGCTAGACCCGGTCGGGCTGCATAAATGTTCTCTACACGGGGCTTTCTTGGGGGCCCAATGGGCCGAAAACAATACAGACATGCCGATTCTTGACATTTGCTTAAAACGGAATATAAATCGGAATTAGCTCACTTCCATTGGGTACGATTGGGTTGAAGGCTTTGCAAAAGATGGAAAGACAGAGTGACAATTTAGCCAATAACAGCGCACAAGGCTGACAACATGGAGAGTATATCAATATGTCGGACCGTCTTTTCACATCGAAAGGAAACAAAATTTCCAGTAAGCTGTACGGTCGGACAAAAAAACCTCACACTCTTGACAGCAATTCAGTAGTCATGCTGGAAAGATAACTCCTCGTTCTTGTGAGGAGACAGGTAAAAGGCAGTACTAGCTCAAATTAGTGCGTTGCTATCCCTTGACTAATTTTAGGGGAAAATACCTCGTTGGAATACCTATATGTAGATGTTCTCACTCTTCAAGCCCGCCCCTGGTGCTGTAAGGTTTTCCGCTCGTTGCGCAATGTGTACAACTCCTGCATGAAGCCCCGCGCCTATTGGGGGCGAAGGTCTGATTGCTCACATGCGATTTGGCAGAATGCAATAAGAACAGGTCAGTAGTCGAATAAGGACGACCCACCTCGTCTGGCTTCTCGGAAGTGACCTGGACTCTGCCATATATAATCGGGCGCAACGGCTAACGATCTAAACTGCAAGGTAATGAGGAGACACCAACTTAGACTCGCGCGCTCAGATATCGAACGCGAATATAGATGAGCCCATGGCAGGGCAGGCTTGGGAGAAAAGCCAAAGGCGATAGCGGTCTCTCGGAATCTCAACATGCAAGGAAATGTCGGTGTGAGCACATAAGAAATATGTGGTGCGAGACGCGAGATACCTGAAGACAATTCGCTTGATTTTGAAAAAGTTGCAAGATTGATTACGCTGTGGGAATATAAATTGCCAGTAATCCTACGCTTTTGGGTCCATCTTTATGCGAAAGGTTTCCATCAGATCTATTCAGTTACCTACCGTAGTAACTGTCAGTATTGGAAATGTGTCTTCTTCCTACGTGTTTGCATAGTTTGTTTTATTTATTAGTCAGATCACCTACGTAAATTGCCAGATGAAGGGATAGAGAAATACATGCGTTCGGAGATCCATGATTGGCCAGGTAGATGCTTAGTTAACTAGTGATGGTGGAGCCACAATGGTGCGTGGTTCATCCGGATTAATTGGATCTCAGAACCAGCTAGTGTTATGTTCTTGTTACATTCTTACCTTACTGGGCCATCGGTGATCTCTTCGAGAACTAGTATCTGATTTATCAAGAGGATGGCTATGATGTAACAAAATTGAGTGTCTATTATCGAGTATCGAAGTTGCATGTTACTCGTCACATGTCTTTTCTACTCGACGATGTCATCGACTAGTCCCTCACATGTGTAATCTCGATAGTATCACGAATACCCCGAAGGACTCGTGCTGCATCACGCGTCTGGAAATAGGTTTGGCCAATAAAATGCTAAAAATTACCGGCGATGAATGGGGTGTAATTTTAGTGGACAATTACAGTCCGAAACTGCGCTCTATTTAAAACAAAGTTCCCGATGGATTGGCGGTATCGGAATTTGAAAATATCAGGATCGTTTTCTCAATCACACATGTTGTACGCCTGGAACTAGTGTCGACCTTCTGTAAAATTGCAGAGCAGGCATTTTTCTCTTAGACGAACAAAATGCCTACAGGCACTCAGCGCATTAGGATAAGTAATCTTTTAAATCCTGCTTCAGACAACTTCGTCAGTTCCGCGGCACGTTTACCTCTGAACCCTGAATCCCAAAGCCAAGATGTGCCAGGTAGCACCGGAAAATATGAGAGTTCCTCGAATTGCACTAAAGAGTATGCTGGTCCTATCAAAAGTTACGGCAATGAAGTGTCTAGCCTACCATCGCATTGATCGCTGACCGCTCGATAGGGTTGAGAAACATACCAGGGCATCTTTCGCTTTGGAAATCCCAAAACAGCAATTCAAGCCCATCCACACAATTTTGCGGCCATATCTGTCTGCCCAGTCCTTCTGTGCCTCTTTGAAAGCCACCCAAGAGAAGTCAGGCGATGATATTCGCGAGGACGGGGACTCTGAATTGAACATATGTTCTGAAAAGAACGAAGCAAGGGCCATGAGGCTCGCTGAACTTGTGAATGATTATCGAACACTACATATTTATATCCTTGAGCACACCACAAATTTGCCATTTGAGCTCACCGGGCAAGAAAGTTATCGGGTGCTCATGGAGTGCCGCGCTTTTTCCCAGGCCCTCTTGACGGGAAACTACAGTCCGGAACCTATTCCAACTTGGGGTGGGGATGAAGACGCTCTGGTCGCCAATATGCTCAAGCAGTGAGTGTGATAATATTTGTTTTCTCGATTGAAGCCTGTCTTGACCATTCTTTCTTTTTTCATATTCAGAGTCATCCTCGACGCGAGCGCCCGCAGATTCCAAGCGTTCAAAATTTATCTTCGTGTCAGTGCTGCCAGATATTCGATCATGCAGGGCGGTAATGTCATACGCCGATCCCCACTCGAAGCGTGTGCTGGTCGGCTACGAGACATAGATACAACACTGCAAAACGTGCGTAGTGGCTACCATGTATCTATTACTATAACTGACAGATCCTTCGCAATGATCAGGAACTTGCCACGATGACTGACAACTTTGTTGCCTCAAATCTCCATGAAGCTGATCTGAGAGCTGGATACTGGGTCGACGAGGACCCTTGTCTTGCTGCAATCTCAGTTCGGATCCAGTCCCAGGTTTGATACAGATGTTGATAATACAGCTGCGCATCTGAAATATCTGCATCACTCGCAGGCCGCAGTGCTACATCCCTTCTTTTTTTTCATTTGTCCGCGAAATCTTTGCGGAAGGATGGCACTCCGAAATTTCGTCGCGGTATGACATCTATTGTACTAGCTGCGTGTTGGGTAAATATGAAGATCGTCAAGTTTTTCTCTCAGAAATAGCAAGATGAGCAATGCTGTTTACGATGAATGACCGCGAAAGATGAGGCCGGATTGAGAAAGTAGAGGGAATTCGGAATAGACAATCCGAAGTATCTATACAAACGACCAAGTTGATTTCCAATCAACTTGGGGTAATTGTTGTATATATAGGCTCATGTATCCCTCTGAAATAATAAGAAAATCTATACCTCTGAACAACAACAATGAGCGTTGATGAGCGTTGATGAGCGTTGATGAGCGTGGACGATAATATGGACTAGGGTGTTGATGTGTGTGTTGTGGTATGTGGCCAGGCGGTGAAGTTGAGTGATGGTCACTAGACTTCAGCAAAGCCGGACCAAGCCCATTTCAATGCACACAACTACGGAAACTATGCATGTTCTACTCTGTAAGCCGAGATCTCGGCCCGACATTTCCCCGGCCCAATCCAGAGGTTCAACTCTCAATCCGGGGGTTCAACTACTCCAAGAAGCAAGATATCAAGATTCAACAGCAACGACCAAGTAATAAAAGTCACGGAAAACAATGGCTACACTATAGACCCGATGGCATAGGAATTGACAAGAAAAAGTATAATTTGACGAGGAATTTGTACTATTCTGGCACTTAGACGACCAGGGAGCGTCAGCACGTAGATATATATACTTCCCATACTCAGCAGCGCGTGTATCTTCCTGTTCAAGTATGACACTTCCATCAGGGGAACTCCTCATTGTAGGCTCAATTTCGTGTCGGAAACAGGCTAATTTCTCAAAATTAGTGTCCGTTTCCACAGATAATTGACCTGGGGAAAGTCTGCGTTTTTATGCAAATGCCAACTCCCCGGGGGCTTCTACTGTAGGCCCATAGCCCATCTGCGGGTTGGGGCGGGGTTGGGCCTCGGAATTTGAGCCAGTCCGGAAGTCTACATGTGACAGAGATAACAGTTTCATTGTTTCATTCTGCACCATTTGGCATCACTTGCTACGACAGTGCCCTGGTAGTTACTCGGATATAAGAGTATAACTAGTAAAGTTCGCACACAGCCTTCAATTCGATTGAGCTGGTCCAATGCAAACACCAATATGCCTCGGTGAAGCTATAAGTAGGCAACACCAACGATCATATCTACCAGGTTTAGATGAAGCATTGAACGAGGAGCGCTCAAAATACGTCTTATTGCTCAGATCATTATGGTGATGCAATAGACTGTTCCTCGCGTAGTCAAATTTATCGTGTCAGGGGGCTTGTAAGTCACTCACTCCTACTCTCCTGTAAAAGGCCTATATCCACGATGGTCGCGAGAGTCGAAGTGGATTGCCAATAGAGACAGCGAAGAAATTGAGGGGCTTGGCTTGAAAATTTCCGATCGGCTGCTTCTACAAGGGAGCCGTCGCATCTTTGTCAATAATCCCCGCCAGCGATTACGATTCATAGTGCGAGCCCATCTCCCCTGTAGCAACCACACCGCACTCAAATTGACGACCACTGCTTTTTGGGCGGGGTACCAGAATTCACGCGATCGAAGATACTCCACTGTGTAGAGAACATTGTTGCAGCCCGATCGGGTCTGGCAGGCGCCATCTTGACTAGATTCGGCAAAGACGATTCCACCAGCATCTACGACGGACATTGCGATGCAATCTACTTGGGTTAAACCGCACCAAAAATGATCCTGACCCACCCGAAAGCAATCAAATGAACAGATTAGTGGCAATGATAGCGTAGGCCGGCATAAATAGTCAGAGAGCTCGCACAGAGGCTGGCTCTGAGTAAAGTTGTGCAGACATCCAACTCACCTTAACAAAGGATCAGCTCAAAAAGTGATATAACAGTCCAAGGCGCGGAGTATCTGACAAATAATCGATGCTCAAGAACAGTCGAGGTAGGGAACGTAGAGAGCTGGGTCATTTCCTGAAAAAAACCGCTTGCACGTGATATGTCAGAAGACAATTCCAGTGAGATAGCGGGCTTCGTTTGACTCACCTAGAGATGCAGTGGTATCCAGGGAAATTGGACTTTGCACTCATTATTCGGCTTGGATAGAGAAAAGCGTGCTGAGGCATCAGATCCAGCCAGCGTATATCCAAAGACACCACAACAATTTGACGATGCTCTTGATGCAGCGTCGTGCATGCCTGGTCGATTAGTTTTCCTGGTTCGTTTCCGCTTGTTATCTCCACCCGCTGGAATACGTCGATTGGCTCAGCAACGCGGAGGATCAGGTGAAACTATCGGACGGCATCCCTTTGCTCGTGCTCTCTGCTTGACTCGGTTATAACTAGACACCCTACCGTCTCCATTTATCGGTCCATACCTGATATGACCAATGTTCATCTGTGAGCTCGAAATAATGGGGTCCCGCCTCACCTTCTCCATGCACGCAGGCTTAGACTCACAGCCTGTTCGTCGGTGAAAGAGGACTCGTCTGCCAAGAGTCAGATAGAAACATGAGCTCATCCCGGTGCCTGTCGAGCTGCCAGGCATCAAAAGACGTGAGATGCAAATCGAGGATAATGAGGATCATCCATTCGACGTCAGGAATTTGATCCCTATGTAGGCTATTTTTTCGCGGTGTTCGAATGCCAAGGCACGGTAGTGCAGGCCCATTGTGGCCTAAGCCTTGTATCGGGTAGACACATTAGCACATGACTGATACAGAGTCGATTGAGAGAAGGGCCGAGACGATCTGGACCTTACGTTGGCTCATCATCGATGCCGCAGTAGTTATGTGGAAATGATAGACAATATGGGATCGCATCGGCGGAGGGGAGCTCGAGCAGAGAAAATGAGGGCGTCCTGTTGTACGATACGAGTCAGCAAGGCTTACCACTTGGACGAGCTGTGATGACTTACCAGTTCATAGTGTTTGCAGAGGGCACGCTGTGTACGCTTGAGACGAGAGGATCAGTAAGCTTCGTGGTCATATGAACTTGCCAACTAGACCACTTACAATCCTCTTCGGTAAGAATGCAGCACCATTCATGCCACGTTCACCATTCATGCCATGTTGTGTTCTGGTTCATCACACCCTCCCGCCGTTGCTTCAAAAAGGCGGGCTGTGAAAAAAACCACCATCATTCCTCGGTATTTTGGAGTTCCAGGACTGAAAAGACGCGAGATGCCAACCGAGGACAATGCCATTGGACGTCAGGAATTTGATCCACAAGAAGCCTATTCTTTCGCGGTGTCCGAATACCGAGACAGACGGTGGTTTAGCCCATTATACTCTGGAATTTGTATCGGTAAACACATCAGCACATTACTGATGCATAGTGTCGACTGAGAGAAGGACCGAGACGATGTGAACATTCCAGTCATTCCTCGTCCATGCCAGCAGTGGTCATGAGGAAGGGACAGATAGCTTGCGATCGCGTCGGTCTAGAGGAGCTCGAGTATAAAAGATTATGCTTCGCATTCGACTCGAGTGACGGGAATATGAGGGGTGCTGTTGTACGATCCGAGTCATTTAGGCTTACCACTTGGAGGAGATTTTATAACTTACCTGTTCGTTGAGTTCGCAGAACGTTCGCTTGAGACTGAAGGATCAATTAGCTTCGTGGTTTTATCTTACCGGCGAGATCACTTACAATTTCCTTCATCAATGCAGTCGCCATTCATGCCATTTGACATGATGTTGTCTCCAGTTCGTCGCACTCTTCGGTTGTCGCTTCGAAGAAGGCGCGTGATGAACCGCCCGGGACAGGAAACTGTACAGTTGCTATGGGATAAGACCTCGCGATGGGGACGGCGAGAGGTTCACACACTCCGCCGTTCATGGTGTGAGGGCGGTGAGGTTGAGGCGCAAGACGCGATGGATCACGCGTCGTCGTGACGTGGTCTTATCTCCGATCCGGCGATAGGACTCTCAACGGGTATCTTGTGGCGATGGCTGCTCCTACAGTGGCATGAAAATCAGTAACCGTGTCCCGAGTCGTACAACTCCGTCAGCCTCTCTGCGAGGTCCTCTTATCTTTGCACTATACGTGTCCCCACTTGCTCCATCGTCCACTGGGGATGATTGAAATGCATGGATGTCGGGCTCGTGCATTGTGCTCCGTGCGAATAATTTGACAGGACAGTGTTTGATTTAGGCGGCTAACCATCTATCCCCTACGATCATCAATTTAGTTCTGGGAGAACTGCTTTTTAGCATATTCAGGACTGGCTTGGCTGTTGAACTTGACCCGCCAGATCGTCACCTCATTCCAATGTGGATATGGATGATCATTCCCTAATTGCGTACTTATGTGTGCAGCCAATTCAACTTTCGAGTCGACTTGGCATCACTTCTGAAGCGCTACCTTTCTGATATCAAAATTCTCCATCGGAAGCCAAAAGGCTCCATCGGAAGCCAAAAGGCGAAGCCCGTATACTTTCAAGTTCCGAAGCTAAGAATATGCTTTTAGAAGCTTTTGGTCCCAGACGCCGAAGATCAGCCTTCAGATCGCTACAGGGAATGAAAAGCTGAGGTACTGTGTACAATGGTAATCAACCGCTTATCAATCATATGAGGGATTGAGTAAAAGTACTGGGTCCTGAGATATGCAAGAATAAAGAGATAAAATTAAGTATGGTCCACGGGTATCTTCGGATGTTTATGAAGTCGCCAATCAACTTGTCTGTCTGGTTTGACGGATCAGCATATGCCCAGGAAAGCCACAAGAAGGAGCTACTTTGAAAAAAGGCATGTAAATGGCAATGGGAATGATCAGCGCTGTCCTGCCCAATTGAAGATACCAATGCCCCACGGCCAGCGATGTCGCCACGAGAAGCTTCTCGGCATCAAAATCCTTCAACGGACTTCTACCGCATCTGGCAGCACGTCGTGAATCACGCGGGACATCATCCAAAGACCCGCGGGCCCTTTAGTTGACGATTGGTGATGATCTCTACGTGTAGGCAATCCAGCTGTTGTAAGCGATTACCGAGATCGCTCATTCTAGGCTCAATGACTGTTGCCAAGGGCTCTGAATTATTTCGAGGCGGACTCGCTTGAGATATAAAAGTGTGACTTCTCGTTCAGTCTCAAATCACTTTCAAATCATTCTCCAGTCAGCTTTCTCGGACGTTCGGCGCGAATTCAAACTCGGGGCGCATCATCTGTTCTCCCGATTTGAAACACCGGATCTATTCAGCTAAGCATTCATTCAGAATGATTGGGCTGCGCAAATCTTTGCCAGTGGCCATTGTGTCATTGTTGGCCGTGAGCTCTGGTGCTGAGGCATATCGCTGGTTCAATTGGCAGTTCGATGTGACATGTGAAGCCACTGGCTTCTACGTACCTGCCAATGAATCCGAACTTGTCGATTTTGTCAAATACCATTACCCACGGAATACCATGCTCAAACCTGTTGGAAATGGTCACGGGTTTGGCAATCTCACGACTTGTGTCAGTGACAAAGACACTGAGCGGGAGTCATACATTCTCAGCTTGACCAATCTCAAACATCTCAACATCCATGATAACAACATCGTCACCTTTGGTGGTGGTTGGGATCTGGTCGACCTTATGCCAATTCTTGAAGAGAACGGTCTCCAAGTTGCCAACCTTGGTAGTGAAAAGGTGCAAAACTACATCGGCGCTGCAACTACTGGTACCCATGGTACCGGAAAGCAGCACCAAAACCTCGCCACCCAGATTATCGGCCTTCGCGTGTTGGATGCGAAGGGGGAGATCCACAAAATCACCAAAGAAAGCACCCCTGACTTGCTTCGGGCTTACAGTATCGCCATTGGAGCTTTGGGAATTATCGTGGAGGTCACAATCCAAGCCGAGCCCTTGGCATACCTGAAGCGGACTACGAAGGTTGTGGAGGGATCTTCGAACATCACCGAGCTTTATCAGCAAATCGCGGAGTTTGGCACCAAATACGAACAAGTCAACATCGTGGGCCCTACTCTGAACTATGATCAAGACAAGCATGAGCTTGTAGTGAATCCTAACATGACACTCGTATATTGGGAAGAGACTGATTACCAAGGGTCTCGCAATTGCTCACTCGATTTCTGCTCCAATGACTGCGGCCGCTGCGATCGGGACTACGTCTGCTATGATCACAAAATGGAAGCAATCGCAACAACCCCATCTGGAATCTGCTACCGCGGCTTCATGGGGCAGTTTGAGCACTTCTTCCCTATCGAGAGCCTGGCAGAGGCTGGTGAGGATTACTTGACCTACGCTCAAGCCCAATCCGACAGAATGAAGCCATACATTGACGATGAAATCGTGGGACCAGGCTTGAAGGGTCATTATCTCAGTGACGATGTGACAGTCATCACTAGATTTGTCAAGGGTGATGACAACTGGCTGTCCCCTGTCAACAAATACAACTTGCAGCCCAATGCCAGTGGAATCTTCGCCACATTGGAATACTCCTGGATCCCCACCTACAACAACTTCACCACTCAGTACTTCTTCCAAGAGCTTGCCAGCGAGTACATTCCCAAGTTCGGTGAAATCTATAATGTTCGACCTCACTGGAACAAGATGATTTTCCACAACGAGACTTACAGCTCCACCATCTACCCGAAGATGAATGATTGGGTTGATTTACAGAAGAAGATGGACCCCAATTGTCAATTCATCAATGAGTTCCTGGCTGAGTCTCTTGGGATTGATCGGTGTCAATATCTTTTCGACTAAAAGAACGAAGACTTCTGAATAGCTGCACCTTTGGAGCAGCTGTCGGATCCCGGAGATTGTCTTTGGCGAAAAGAGAATTATGTGGTCATTTTATACTCTTCACTAAGTGTATTGGAGCTCGAGCGAAGCACTGAGGTTTACCACCCATCCCTGTACCTTTCAACCAAGATCTTTCACTCCCAAAACACAGCTTAAATCTTTAGAGAAGACAAATGACTTGATTTTCCTCAAATGGCCATACATTGAGATGAATACAGTCCATCCAAGAATGGGTTTCCAACATGTCTGCCCAAGTGAGTTTTGCTCCCGAGACCAAAGCTAGGAATTTTGAAGTCTCATGAATTTATGTACATGCATGGATCGGGTGCGGCACGACCGGCAGTCTTAATCACTCACCAAATGCCACAGCTCGACCCTTTCGGTTAAACCTGATTGTGCAGAGGCCTCTATAATATGTTTCCTCAGTTCCATCCTCGCCATGATCGAGCTAAATCCAAACATATTAGCCCCTCATTATTGATTTCTATGCTTCTTTAGCGTCAGGTCGTTTCTGGCCACCAGGGACCAGACGTTGGAAGACATTTGTCGGGTCGTAGATCGCCTGAGAAGCGCGGGGTTTAGCAAGGTTTTTCTCGCCGTAGCTTGTCAAGAGTGGCTGATTCCAGCCAGAGTATGTAGGCATACTAGAGCAGATTCGCACATTAGCCACAGTTGAGACAACAGGAAGGATAAAGTAGGCACGAAAAGGCAGGAATGACGAACAGGTAAAGATGAAGAAGCTCACGACTGGCGGCCAATTGCTGCATCTTCTCAACGAATTCGTCGTGATCTGACAACACTCGATCGGAATCCGCTTCGTTGTCGAAGGTGGCTCCAAAAGTAGAGGACTGGATCAAAGTATGTTTGTCAACATTCATGTGAGATCGTTTGAGGATTGTTCAAGTACTCACTGCCCAGCGTGCGGTTTCCAGCATCTTCCAATCCTAGCGCGTTCGTCCTTTTGAGTATGCCCTGAGTGACTTATCTGTGGGTAATTGGCATGTTGCAATGTAAGCCGTAAAAGCCCTCGACATCCTGATAATTCTTCATCCATTTGCGGAACTCCCACCAGATATCCTTGTACAATTGGGCGTCTTCATAGACAGTCATGATCCGCTGAGCTTGGCTAAACGTGAGATCTGTTTCAGCTTTATTTCTCTGCGTGTCTCCTTTGGATGTCGACTATGGTGACCAGTGAGAATACTTACAACTTGCCATCTGGGAATCCGTCATTCAGCTCAGCTGGAAGCGAAGTGTAACTCTGATTGTGGACTGTGCTCTTGTAGTGAGGTCTATTGTTCCAGGGTTGCATGATGTCGGGCAATCCTTGGAGATCGGCGTTATAGACCCCAGGAGTGAAGTTGATGGTCTCGTTGGTAGTACCGTTGTATCCGAACTGAGGCAACGTATGGGTATGGGTATCGTTGACAGCCTGATTCACATGATGATCATAAATTGCGTCCGCGAGTTTATCGAGTGAGGATTTCGGGTAGTTGACGATACCACCCAACACGCGACCATCGGTGGCGACGGTAGCGAGATCAAAGTGAGTGGCCACGCCGAAGTTGTTGGTTCCTCCCTTGAGGGCCCAGAACAAGTCGTTATGACTGCTGGAATTATTAGCATTAACAATCGTCCCATTGGCCAAGACCCCTTCGTAGTTGACGACATTGAGAATGGTAAGACCTTCGCTGTTGGAAGTAGGAGAAGCCCGCCCCAACCGCGAGCCCCTGTTCTACTTTCTTACAGCGGCCGATGACAGCGGAAAGATTGTAAGGGTTCAGGGTTTAACCGTCTTCGCCCTCGAGACGGTGTCTGGATTACCTCTCTCACCTTCGGTTGAGCCTCCCAGCAGACTCGACACGCTGTTCAACGCGCCCCCAACACTTCTTCTTACCTCCATCCGCAAGCCTCGTAGTTTTGGACATTCCAGCAACACATCCCTAACCGTCTCCTGCGCGCCGCACTCGCATCGATCATTGTCCCGGAAGCCAATTTCTTGGCGTATGTGGATAACCAGTTGTGGCCCGTGCGCAGCTGAGTGAGCAAGTTTACTCGGTTGTCGGAACGTGGTCGTTACAGTACGGACTAGTACGGGCATAGCCAATGGAGTACTTGAGAGTGTGTTTTATATACTATAGAAAGTGCAGAATAAACTGGGGATGGGCTTAGTAAGGTCGTTGAGAGCCTTACGATCATCAGGCAGAGGGGGTGCTGAATATTCCTCGGGCGCGCTAGTAACATTTCGACCCTCTTTTGTTGACAAAAATGGTATCAGACGGGAAACGATCAACTGCATGGGTCTGTCGAGATCCGTGGCTTGTGGATCGGTAAAAGGTTCTTTGTGGGCCATGGCTTGGCTCTTTCTTGGTGAGTCAAGCCCGCGTTCGGTAAGCGATAAATATTTTTCCGCTCGATCTTTCTGTCGGTACGCTCCTAGTGTCGTTATAGCGGTTTCAACTTTATGTTGATTAAAGTTTACGGAGCTTCAGACGCCGCAAGTTCCGCCAAATCCCAACAAAAAAGGCCTCGAAAACCATCCGAGCAAGCCACAGATTACTCGGCCTCGTCTTACCCCCATCCCAAGGCTCTTTCATTGCTTTTCCAAACCTAGATGACTCAAGGCTCCGGATATTGATTAAGATACAGTCTTCTCCATAACGGACCTCATAGAGCACGGGTCCTGAGTTATCAATACACAGTGGAAGTTTTTGGTTAAGAGATATATTCGACTGATGCCACAATCGATGTCTTGCTCGGCCAAGTACACCTGTGAGTACTTTCCAGGTGTGACCGTACTCAAGGAGGCCGATGATTCCTCCAGCAAATGAGATCAACTCCTCGAAGGGGACGTGAAATTGTTCGATGGCTGTACCAACGAGATAGATGCCAGCAGCATCAAATTGGATACAGAACATATTGAGTAGATGTTGAAATTGATATCGAGATATCTCAATTGAAAAAGCGGGTGCGGGTGCGGTTTGAAGACTTCTCTTTTGGAATAGGTATTGAGCTCTGTGTCCCTCGAGGCTCCTCTCGGAGCTCTGGCACATTCAGCTAGGTTCAGAGAAATCGACGAGGATTCGACGGCTCACTGTAAAGAAAGATTTTGGAGTATCAAAACATTGTGAGGTAGAGTGAATCGGTACCAGAGCGGAGAATAGAATGGCCAGGAGTATATAAAGCCAAAGTTGCAATCCCTAGAAGCGGATGCATCTTGTGACGCGCCAGATATGCCTGTTTTTCCTGAATCCACCTGCCAAGGACGATGATCTCAACTCTAAATGTGCAATTTAGATTTGCGGCATTGCTAATAATTCTTTCGAGATTAAAATTGGCCCACACGGGAATTATTCGGTGAAATGATTTCTGATATCGGGCATCCATTGGGCATTCGAGAGTTGTGAAAGGCGATAAGATCGCGAAAATAGGGGCTAATTATGCAATATGCACCCTCATGCGAGATTATCTGCTCTGTCAGTAATTAATTGGCCCACTTATGATGGCTGTGGTAAAAAAGAAATAGAGAACAATAGATGGAGGCCAGGGGTCCTGATTATGCCAGGAAGGTTTGTGATCATTTTTTTGAAGTCCTTAGGTCTGCCAAAGAAAGACGAACGTCTTTTAGCTATGAAGAATATCTTATTGCAAGCGCCAACAAGTAGACCTATGCTTATGCCAATGAAATGTGGCATCATGTAGCGCCAAGATAGAATAATGTACAAACAGAGTGCTAGTTTAGTTACTTAACAACAAGAAAGAGTTCCGCTATCGTTCCTGATCGGCGAGTTGTATACTGTTTTGACGTCTTAGCGACGTCCAGGGTGATTGTGTCTGGAATTAAAAACAAGCATTGCCTTCCCTACTAGGGCCTAGGAATTTACCTCTGCTTCGATAAGCCTCAGTGCTGTTGCAGGCTCTCTTCTTTATCTCGTCAATTTCTCTGTTCTCTCGACTCTTGCTGTCAACAAGTTGCGCGTGTTTGGGTTGCTACACTCTTTGTCTATCATCCTTTTTACCCCCCGCGGGCGCGCCATTCACACCAAATCAGTCGTCCGCGGACTCAGACCAAATTTACAAATGTTTGCTGCAAACTTCAGACTCACAGCCCCAAGACCCTACACATCAGTTGGCAAAGCTTATGATATTGCCGAATCGCAAGACGGGGTTCCCAAAGACATTTCGAGACGAAAAAACTCGACCGCCCGTAAGGAACGTCAGCGCCGGTGTATAAAGGCAAGACATCCGAGAAAAAATTCGTTACTTTGCTGCTCAAATTTAACTTCCCAAGTACCAGTACATTTATGGAAATCCGTGCTTGAAATTCTCTAAACGCAGTTCCATTTGCATTTTTGACGAGAGCTCCGACAGACGGCCAAAAATCAACCCAAGTATGATAGAAGAAGAACTGAGATACCACCAGAGGTTTGTGGTAAAAATTTTGGAAGTATGAGAAATTTCAAAAAGGGGCATGTTCATATCATCAATATTGTGCGCTCAGGATCACCATTTAAAGTAGAATCCGGAGTGAAAGGAAAAATTGTTGCAGGAAATAATCCTGCTTGGAACATGCAAAGCGACTCGATTAATTCGTCTCCTCAATGACCCATGGTTATCAACATTCAATTTTCAAACCTGCGATCATCTATGCAAATAGAGATCTTTGAATTCTTCTCCTTTCTCTTTTGAATGGTTTTATTAGTGACTTCACTAAGTCAAGAGGGATAAGGGCTGTAGTCTGGCCGTGACGGGTTACCTATCGCGGCGGTCTTAGACCCTAGCGTTAGATAGAACCCATCCGCGCTCCTTTGTAGGGAGGTAATGCGTCTGTATAGTCGCGATGATTTTTATGTACAGAGGGAAGGCCTGAGGGACAAAACGAGTCTTGACTACGTGAGAGATGACGAGCTACCAGCAAGGGCGAGCGATTGACTCTCGTGAGGCAGTTTCAGGAAGTAAGAGACCCCTCCATAGGCCTGTTAGGCTCTGTGCAGGCACCAGTTGAGGAAATGCCAATTAAGCTCCTTGTTGTAGCCAAGAGGTATGAATTAACTTATTATCTCAGAGGGATACATGAGCCTACATATACAACAATGAGCCAAATTGATTTCCAATCAACTTAGGTTGTCCATATTGATACCTCGGAGCTAATTCCGACGGTGCGGCTTGGTTCCTGATCTGCACCAGCCTCATATCACAACAATGTCCATTCTTCCTGGCAATGTGAGTGATTTATCGCACCCTCTGCTGCGCTATATCAAATATTTGTGCAATTCTTGTGCTCCAAAACACGAGCACCATTGCTGATTTTATGCCATCGTACATAGGAGCAGCCGTCGCCACTGTGAAAGATAACCGTTGAGAGTCCTATCGCCGGATCGGAGATGAGACCACGTCACTACGATGCATGATCCATCGCGTCTTCCGCCTCATTCTCACCGCCCTCACACCATGAACGGCGGAGTGTACGAACCTCTGCCATCCCCATCGCGAGGTCTTATCCCGTTACGAGTGTACATTTTCCTGTCACAGGGTCTTCGTCACGCGCCTTTGGCTCTCAGAATTTGCCCAGTGCACCCAGCGCGGCTTCTTTGAAGCCACAACCAGAGAGTGCGACGAACTGGAGACAACATCATGTCAATACGGCATGAATGGTGACGCATTGATGGAAACATTGTAAATGATCTCGTCGGCAAGCTATTACCACGAAGCTAATTGATCCTTTCGTCTCAAGCGAACGTTCTGCGAACTCAATGAACAGGTAAGTCATAAAATCTCCAAGTGATAAGCCTAAATGACTCGAATCGTACAACAGCACCCCTCATATTCCCGTCACTCGAGTCAAATGCGAAGCGAGCAATCTTGTCTGCTCGAGCTCTCCTATACCGATACGATCGCAAACTATCTCTCCTTTTCTCATGATCACTGGTAGCATGGAAGAGGAATGACTGGCAAGGTTCACATCGTCTCGGCCCTTCTCTCAGTCGACACTATGCATCAGCCATGTGCTGATCTGTCTACCGATACAATGTCCAAGGCACAATGGGCCAAATACTGTCTGTCCTAGAATTCAAAAACTCGCGAACGAATAGTCTCCTTGTGGATTGAATTTCTGGAACTTCTGAGACCAAGGGGTGATCCTCACAGCCGTCGGTTCGCATCTGGCATCTTTTCAGCCCTGGAACTCCAAAAGATCCGAGTAATGATGGTGGTTCTGTCTTACTTCATGGCAAGTGAGTCTTACCTTCGCACCAATTCCAGTGCGGTTGTCTGGTTCCTCGCAGGGACTGGATACCATATAAATATACTCAAGGTGGAACATGTGCATGCATATGTGCTATCGGTCGCATTTTAGTTTACGTAGTCAAGCCAAAAAAAAAAAAAAAAAAAAAATTGGAGATAATGATAATCAGATCTCCTCTTAGGGAGTAACAATTCAAAACTCCGGCGGACACGCAGCTCCGCCCGTAACTTTACACAAGATGGCTCGCTCGGGTATACCTTGAAGAAACAATTTACCCTTTATCTCCTTTGACCATAAAGTTTGCCTATACTTTTGCCAGTTTTTCTCGGCCTCCTTTCCGTTTTCCATGTGCGCAAAAGAATTTCCCACGTCATAATTCACTATATCCAGAGGCACCCAGGTGTCAGACCTTGGCGAAGGATGAGCATTGATAAGCACACCTTCCCAGGTATCGAAAAGGCCCAAATGTCGAAGAAATCCAGACCGATCGAGGTTCCAGCTTGATGGATGCCAGTAGGAAAGTACCAGTTGTACAATTTGCGGAGGCCTCAAAAATTGGATAATGCTTCGTATAAAGAATCCCCAGTTCCCGACTATACTTTCGCCTTCGTCGAGATATTGGTCTCTGACCTGTTCATCTTCACCCTCCAGCCAAGAAGGGACCTCGGAGAGACGAACGGTCTTTCGCCCAAGAAACCCCCATGTGAAGTCGACGATCTCAACGATATCTATTTTCTCCTGCATGGGCCTTTCCGGATTGTTGATCCAATGTCGCAAGGTAACGTCGAATGCGTCATCAAATTTTTGAGCATTCGGCCATACCTGACTTCTGACCCTCCAGAGCTTCTCTATTGACATCCACTGCGCTGTCAAAGCCTTGTAGAATCGTTCATAGCCACCTTGTCTGTTATTGAGCATGTTTCTGCTCTCAAGGGGCTCAGTGTGTGAAGATGGCTTCGGGAGATCTTCTTCAAACGCAGATTCCTCTGTTGTATCCGGTTCATTCACATCGGGCGTGAATGAAAAGATCGACCGCTCGTACGCCTCGTTTGCAGCGTTATCTAGGTAAATAGCAAAGAGTAGACGCATTCCATGCCATCGAGATACTATATCCCAGACAACCTGATTAGGTATGCTCGTGCCATATTTCACAGGTTCCATCATATTAAGATGCCATTTGCGACGGGCGGCATTTCCGGGAATGACGGGTGTGGCGTAAAATTCAGATGAGAAATGCCCATACATATGAACCGCTTGATTGAGTTCAAGATCATGCTGATGTTGAGACGCTCTGGACTGGGTTACCGTTCAGTGATCGTACAATCGAGGAACAAAGGATTGCTCTTACAATGATCGATCTGAAGACCCTCAATCGGACGCTATTTGTGTCAAAAACAGAAAAGGCATATTTGCAGGATCGGGCAAAATGTAAAGCGTCATCTATGTTTTCAAGTGACTCAAATGCCAGTATTATAATCTCGGGAGGGAGGTCCAGAATGTGGCACATGTCGTAATAGTGAAAATGCCAGGCGAATTGCAAGATTCACAACCTCAATAGCGAACTCTTATCAGTGAAAGAATCCTCCGTGCATGACAAATAGAATAGACCCCGGCTTCAAAAATTAGTCTCCATAAATGGTGACCGGTCAATCCAGTCAAGGTTGCCATTCTCAGACTTTCGGTTAAGGAGGGGGTTGAAATTTGAGGTGGGGTCGCTTGGTGTGCCCACTCTCTACACCAGAGCATGGACATTAGAACCACAGATCACTCAAGGCCATCACTCAACTTCAACGCCTGGCCACATACCACAATACACATCAACACCCTCTTCCATACTGTCGCCAGCGCTCATCAACGTCTATCAACGTTCATCAACACCCACCAACGTTCAATAACGAGTTCAGGGGAACCAAGATGCATTATGTGGGTCCCATGCAGATCATATCTCCATCCGTCTTGTATGCTTCACGTAACCCCCATGTTCCATACGGTTGCCCTTATATTTTACCTTCCTGCTACTCCTGAGGTACGGTTATAGATTGTTGTTGTTCAGAGGTATGAATTAAGTTGTTATCTCGGAGGGATGCATGAGCCTATATATACAAGAATTACCCAAGTTGATTTTCAATCAACTTGGTCGTCTGTATAGATACTTCGGATCTAATTCCGACGGCGCGGCTTGGTTCCTGATCTGCACCAGCCTCATATCACAACATTCCCCCTCAGGATCGCTTTGCTGGCAAGGCGATACTGGATACGCTGTGCAGGCAAGCCTCGGTAAAACCACTCAAAAACCTTTGTGGGAAAATAAAGTGGAAAGAGCGCCTGCGCTGTCACGTTTGTTGCCTCTGAGTCTCCGAGGCTCCGATCCCTAGAAGACTACAGAACTTGGCGAATGCCGTAGGTCCCAACGGCTTGGTGAGACCGTCTGCGGCCTGTTCCGCAGTAGGAACATATTGAAGACCAATCTCGCCAGCATTCAGCACGGCTCGCTGATAGTGGAACTTCACGTTGAAATGTTTGGTCCGTTTGTGGAACTCGGGATTGCGCGAGAGGGCAATCGCGGACTGGTTGTCGGCCATGATGTTGGTGACCGGAGACCGATACAACTGTGTCTCGGCCAGGAAGGTGCGGAGCCATTGCAAATGCAGAATGGCATTGTATTGTCCAATGTACTCGGCATGAGTTGTCGACGTGGCCATTTCCCCCTGTCTCTTGGACGACCAGGAAACTGGTGCGCCTGCAAGTTGGAACACATAGCCAGATGTGGAGTATGCCCCATCAGTGACGACAGAGCCGCCAAAGTCGGCATCCGTGTATCCAATTAATTGTCCGCTGCGGTAGGTGATGCAATGGTATTGTGTGGCTTTGACATAGCGAAGCAATCGCTGCAGGGCGACCCGGTGGTGCGATTGCGGCTGAGACGTGAAGCGACTCAACGTGCCCAGCGCAAACGCAATGTCCGGTCGCGTTCCAACCATCAGATACATCAACGAACCGATGGCGGTTGCATATCGTGCTTTGCCTTCCTCGTCTGGAGGTGCTTCATCCGGATGATGATTCAAAACTTGCTTGGGATTCATCGGGGTGGTCTTCGCCTGACAGGTTTCCATGCCAAAGTCAGACATAATCTTTTGGATGTACTGGTGTTGGTGAATCGAAACGGCTCCGTTGGCATGGTAGTCGAATTGGATTCCGAGAAATGAACGCGGAGTTCCAAGGTCGTTCAATTGAAACTCCTTCTCCAATGCTTGTTGCACTTGTTTGATTTCGTGCGAATTGGCTGCCGTAATGAGAAAGTCATCGACATAGACACAGACCACGCAATCGGATTTGTAGAACACGCAGTTGTCCGATTCTGCCATAGTGAAGCCATGGGCGGCCAGCACGCGGTGGACGCATTGGTACCAAATCCGCGGGGCCTGTTTAAGTCCATACAAGGAACGACGAAGCCGGCATACGTAGCCTGGCTCTTCAAATCCTTCGGGCAACTCCATGTAGATGGAAGAGTCCACGTCACCGTGTAAGAACGCCGTGACGGCGTCGAATTGGTGAAGCTTCCATCCGCGTAATGCGGCGCTGGCGATGATGCAGCGGACTGAGTCCATTCGTGACACAGCAGCAAACGTTTCGTGGTAGTCGATGCCATATTTCTGCCGATATCCTTTGATCACCAATCGCGCTTTGCGCGTTCCGTTGACTTTGGTCTTGAAGACCCATTTGCAGCCAATCACATGATCTCCGGCGGGAACGTCCTTTCGTGGAACCTTTTCCCATGTTCCGTGTTCGAGAAGCGACGCATATTCTTTCTGGATGGCAGCCCACCATTCCAGTTGATTCGGGCACGACACGGCTTCGTGGAAAGTTGAGGGATCGACTGTGCGCGCAGATGTGGTATTCAGTGCGCCTGCGGTGTACACCTTGCCAAGTGATTCCAGCAAGCGCCGTGAGGGTCTTCTTCTGCGGCCATAGATGGAATAGCCGAGGTCCTGTGTGGTCTCTGCTTCCTGTTCAATTGGATTGACCGGCGAAGGTATTTCCTCCCCATGCTGAGACGGCGTTTTCTCTTGTTCGGATGATAAGGGCAAAGGCGATACCGGTGGGGTCGGCAGCCCATTAGCCAAGGAAGGTACTGATGGAAAGACCGATGACGGAGGAGCGTTGTCCGGGAGGTCGTTGCCTGATTCCCCCTCGATGAGTGGCGCCACAGGGGTCCTCTCATCGAACTCGACATCACGGGAAAAGACGGTCTTTCCGGAATGGATCTCATACAGTTTGTACTGGTTCGGCTCACAGTAACCTAGCAATCGGCACTCGGACGACCTGGGTCCGAGCTTTGCTCGATGCTCTCTGGGAATCAACACCCATGCGCGGGAGCCAATCCGTCGCAGATGCAACAGCGAGGGTGGCTTCTCGTATAATATTTCGAACGGTGTCTTCTTCTGTAAAATTGATGCTGGCGCGCGTAACTTCAGATAGACCACCGTTTCTAACAGCTCAGTCCACCAGGAAGGAGGAAGGTTCGCATCAGACAGGAGCGTGTTGATCCGCTCCCGGATAGTGCGATTCGTGCGTTCGGCCAGACCATTCTGCCCTTTGCAGTATGGCGGCGAGGTGTCAAACTCAACTCCCTGGGTCTCGAGGTGTGTTCCGATCGGCAGGTATTCTCTCCCATTGTCGGTGAGGAACCTCTTGATCTGGGCGCCGAACTGTCGGTGCATCCAGGCCTCAAATAGTCGGAACTTCTGGAGCGCTTCATGCTTCCATCTCATGGCATATGCCCACGAGCCACGAGAATAATCGTCAGTAAAGGTGATCACGTACCTGGAGCCATCTTTGGCGATCGGCATCTCCATGATGTCCGAATGGATCATTTCAAAGATTCTCGTTGAATGCAGACGTGGCCGTCTTGCACGGGAGTTCCTCTTCTGATGCTGCTTACCCGACATACACGCCGGGCACTGCGGCGTTGCCAGCAGCTGCGCCTGCGTCAGCGGTCGGTACGGAGTGCCGGTCTGCCGGAGGACCACCCTCAAGTCTCCCCGGTTCAGATGTCCCATCCGAGCGTGCCACATCGCTTCGGAGGCCTGGTCCACTCCCTTGCACGCATCTTCTTCGAGTATCACAGCTTCACCACCGAGTTCAGAGGTTGACGTTGCGCATTCTGCGTCACTTGACTCCTGAGGGTCGTCGACGTCCATGGCCACCGCCTGCGGTTCCAGGGAATCTGCATGGCCATAGGTCGTCGGCGCCCTCGCCAGTTGGACTCGCTCTCGAGATCTTCTGCTCACATGGCACCGCAGGATCAGTAGATCCTCTTCCGCATGGTAGGCTGTCCCCACAGTCCGTCCTCGGCGTTGCACAAAGACGTTCTGCGGGTGTGCCACCACCGAGTAGCGGTCTCGCAATAACTTCGGCACGCTGATCAGATTCATCCCGACGCGTGGCGCGAAGTATACATTCTTTAACACCAGGGGTTGGTTGAACTTCCCCCGGAGCGTGAGCTTCACCGTACCAATCCCTTCGGCTTCCACTGGATCACCCGCCGTGTCCAGCATCTCGCGGTGGGGCCGCAGACTGCTGAAGCAGCTCCGGTCCCAGCAGATATGGCTGGTGGCGGCCGAGTCCAGGATCCACCGGGGTTGCGGTGCGTGGGTATAGAGGGTCGTCACCCTCGCCCTCACGATATTGATCCTCGGTCTCTTGGAAGTCGGCGGGCCCTGCCGATCTTCTCTCTGGCTTGACGGTATATTTTGCATGTTGTTTCTTGGTGAGCCGGAAGCACTCCGTTCAGCCTTCAGGGCATGGTCCCTAGGCGGGTGAATTTCGCGCTGTTTCTTCCAGCACTCCGCGACCACATGGCCGCGTTTCTTGCAGTAGGCACATTTCTTGGGGATTCGCTGCACTGCATTGACGGACGGTCCTGGGACTCCCTGCGGGGGCACGGGAGACTCCTTTCGTCGGACCGTCTGCTCGGCATTAGACAGCCGATTTCCAATCGTAATCGGGTTGACCGGATCCTTGTCATTCTGGATCGCATCCACAACTAGGATGTATTCCGGTCCGATCTGCGTCAGCAAGATCGCGATGTGTGTCCGATCACCAATCGATCCGGGCGCGATGGCATTCAATCGATGTACGAGCAACCGTACACGATCAACGAATTCGCGCGCACTGCCGCATCGTTCGCCGGTGGTCTCGCGAAGTTGAGCAAACAGTTCGCAGAAGGTGGCGAGTTCCATTCGCCGGTACCGTTCTTCAAGTTCATTCCAGAGGTCGCGAGACGTCTCTAGTCCCGCGACATGAATGCTGATGTGGGGGGACAGGTACCGGAAGATGGTGTGATAGGCCTCGGCTTCGCGGCGCGACCATTCGCGATGGCGCTCAAATGCCTGGACCTCCACTTCGAGGCGCGCTTCAATGGCTCGCTGCCTCACCGCCCCATTGAGGTGGGGCTCCACCAAGGGGTGGATGTCCGCCGTAATAGGTTTGGCGTACTTGAATAGACAGTCGGGACGCTGAAGGTCGCCCGACACGACATCCCAGACCTGCCTGGCTTTCAGGTAGGAGGTCATGAGACGTTTCCAGGTCGCGAAGTTGTCGCTTCCTGTCAAAGGCTCGATAGCCGTGACGGCTCGGTCGGGAGAGTCATGGACCAGAGCAGACATAGTGATGATGGCGAAAGCGGGGTAGATATATAATCAAGATTGATAAAATGATTCTTAGATGAGTAGAGACGGCACCCAAGATTTGCTCTCGGGCTCATAACCTGTTGTTGTTCAGAGGTATGAATTAAGTTGTTATCTCGGAGGGATGCATGAGCCTATATATACAAGAATTACCCAAGTTGATTTTCAATCAACTTGGTCGTCTGTATAGATACTTCGGATCTAATTCCGACGGCGCGGCTTGGTTCCTGATCTGCACCAGCCTCATATCACAACATTAGATCACTTCTCATTTCACTCTACATTTGTCCATAGATGGACATGCTTCATGATGGGTATGCGAAGGTCCAAGCTTCGCATGACCCCGTCTCTTTTGCACGTTTCTTGACAACAGCTGAAAGTGAAGCATTCAGCTAAATTTCAGCAACCTTCGGATCTGCGGAAACACAGCCACGGTGGCTGGTGATGATCCATGGTTCATCACCAATTCGCCCATCAGCCAACCACGGAACCCAAATCAAAATCTCGTGTAGGTTTAATTGTCTTCATTTTGGACATACTATCATTCGCTCTACTGTAAGCCTTTGGCGTCGTAGTAATGTTCATATATCATCTCTCTTCCCAACATCGAGGTCTGTTTCTTTGAACCTTTCTACTGAAGCATTACCTGCATTAAACCAGATTATACGCCAACCCAAAGGCTGGGAATCCTAGTCGAAAATTTCTGATGAGCTTTGGGATGTGTTCGCTGTCGACCAATGGATTGACAACCTGTTTGGCGACAGTGAGATAGTGAACAAACCCATCAAATTTACCATTGAAGACGCCGAAGCGGTCGCCAACGTGAGATTTTTTTCTTACCAAGGCACTTCCCGTCTTAGTGCCCGTATGCTGATCTGAAGAAAGAATCAATCTGAGCAGCCGGTGTTGAAGTTGATTGATAATCTTCACGGACATAGAGCGGCGTTTCCATATCGACAGCCCAGGATACCCGCACATCGAAGGATGGGCGCGATGGTTTGAGTGCTACTTCGTAGCGGAGAAGACCGAGCAAATACACCTCATCAGAAAAAGGCGCAGACCGTCACAAGGCCAAGTGACCATGAACGGATCATCGTCAGAGTGCCCTTTCTTGTTGTGCATAATGCTCGGACGCATACCATGCGTTCAAACGGCATAGAACCATTCTAGATACTGCAGATGGTGATGGAAGAAAGATATGGTGTGTATCGGTGGTTCTACCACAATTCCAGGGTCTGCTTCGTGTTGCAGCAGATGCGGAGTTAGCGCTAGCTCGTAGCATAAGCAGAGTAGCAGCACCGTATAGAGTAGGAATCTTGCGCATTGCTATTGCGGCGGGCTTTCGGCACAAACGAGCGGAGAAGGGCGCATGGGAGGCAGAGACGGGATTTCAAGGCCTCATTTTGATACCGAGCTGCAGAGCCCCTTCAGACTCCCCGCCACAGATTGTGTGGCTCGAAGCGCTTGGAGTAACCAGGGGTTTGAAGCTCAATTGCTGTCGGTGTTCCTTGGTAGCGGTAGGGATGCGACCGGGATTGTCATGCGTGCGAGTGTTCCTAGCTGCCTGTGTCGGACTGGGAGTCAGATTCACGAAATCGGTGTAACTGAACTGCTGACTCGGAGTTCCGGGTCTCGCATGAATGTCGCCACCTAGTATGGGAGTCGTCGATGGCAGAACTACATGCCGACTTGAAAAGAAAGAAGGGGTGAAGGTCTGGTAGTGATTGCCTCCTGCGACCCGGGCCGGGGTGGGGGAGCTCACCAGAGACGGTAGCAAGCCTTACCAATTCGCATCTTCAATGTGCCGGCCGGTGACTCTTAGTCCCGAGTGCTTCGGGGAGGGGTTCGTGGTGGAGAGGAGCCCATCGTCGAGCTCACATTCTGGGAATTGTGCAGCGGCAGATCCAAATTAGTTTCTTCATCACACGGTTGATGATAGACACATGGTGTTCCTGGTACCAGGGTTGCAGCAATAAGGGCTGTAAGGTGCCCCTTCGTGTCAGGGGAGGATTTAGCCAATCGGTAAGAGCTCTTCCGCGAGACACGGGTTGCCTTTTGAGGGCGCACGTAGGTTGAATCCGACCGAAAACGCTCGCAGCTGGCAAACTTCATCGACTCTATCGGCGCATCACTGAAGAAGTGAGGGAGAGTGCATGCTTGTTGCGAGCTGATCGAGATGACTCATGGTAGGTCGAGGCTCGGAGAGGCGAGGCGGAGAAGTCAATAGGGTTTCGCAACGACTGCGTAGAAATTTCGACGGGATATCGAGGGGTTTATCGCCGTCCAGGGGCTGGCTCGAGTATAGACTGTGAAGCGGACCGTGTTGGTATTTGAGTTTGGCTAGGCCTAGTCGATACCGCAGATTTGAGGACACCTGACGCAGGACAAATTCAGCTAGGTTTGTCCATTAGGAATGAATGTCCGGCGTTATTTCAGTACTCTAGAAAGTCCTGATTCGTACAGACAGTAGTAGTAGTAGCAGTAGTAGTAGTAGGATTCATTTACACTGACCCCTCGTAAAGTTGGATTCTAAACCACAACCCACTAGGCCGGGTACGGATTCGTATTTTGGTCTAGTTGGGAAATCAACTTTGCAAGGGGTCAGTGTAAATGAATTCTACTTTTACTACTACATACTACTGTACCTTGGAATGCGTTAATAAATTGTGTGTGTGTGTGTGTGTGTGTGTGTGTGTGTGTGTGTGTGTGTACCTTGGAGTCAAATTTGGCGGTGCGGCTTGGTTCCTGATCTGCACTAGCTTCTCATCACAACAACCTAGTCATACTGCCTAAGTCCAGGCAAACATATTGATTTCGATTCCAGCTGGGGAATTTGTGGCGATCTATTTAATTAGACCTACTCAAGAGGGCCATTGCATAATTTAATCATTTATATCTTCGTGGCAGCTATGTCTGTTTGCTGGGCCCGGAAAAATTCCATTGTATATTACGGGGAATCAACTTACAACGTAAGCTTGCACCAAAACCATCATTTCCAATAATAAACATTATTGCTCCAGTGGTTCAGATACCTCGCCTCTGAGTACCCTGGACTGCTTCCATATTGTATATCCAGTCTCACATCTCCAAACTATTGCATGTCCACGTCTCAAGTTGTTGATCGTTACAATATCGATGGCAAAAACATCATTTTTAGTGCAAGGTAGCAGACCGGTGTGGCGAAACAGCGGTATTCCTGCCAGCTTCGATTAGATCTGAATCGACGCGCGTCGTTACGATTGCCTCAGCAATGAACAAGCTGCTAACATAATGGGAGGTTCATATTTTTCTGGTTGGTGAGAAATACGGCCTTTTAATTGCACAACGTGTCCTGTGAAAATACTATTGCAGCTCTGTATGAAGAAAATTTAAACTTCCACTTATTGCGTTAAGTGAGTGAGGTTTCTCGGCTTCCCAGAAAGAGACAGCAAGGCCGAAATCACGCCTTTGGTTTATACTTGTGCCCCCGGAGCCTGACTATCAGGGTTATTGTAGAAAAAGATCCTTATTGAAATGTAAATACAGGTTTATGCACAAGGGCACTGTAGTACCAAGGAATGGACATAGGGAAATGGACAAGCTTGAGGAGGCGAGAAGGGCGTGGTTATTGGACTACTGAGAGTGATAAGATATTGTGCGATTCAACAACTCCTTCGTTTTGAAATATATGTAAACAAATTTTATTAGATAATACAGCAAAACACACCTAAAACTCCTCGACTTGTCTCAGAATATAACGCTTTGCCACAAACTCCCCAAGCAAGATCTCGGATAGAACTGAATTAAGCATCCTTCACACCAAGAGCCTTAGCAGACCGGTCCCAATATTCCTTCCGCTCATGGGTAACATTAGTCTCACGGCACTCAGTGATATAATTTTTCCACCCCTTCTCAGAACCATCCTGTAGCGCAGAACGCACTTCTTTCGAGCACTGCGTAGTCAAGAACCAAGCACCAGAACCGAAATCAAAAGTTTTATTCTCACGCAACAAGTCAAGTAGATCGGCGGGAAATTTTCCACGAAATAAAATCTACTTTTCAGCTCGGGAATGCTCTTCGCATATTTCTTATTGAAGGCGGGAGATTGCATATTGCGCGCTGTTATATACTTCAAAGTTACTATAAGGTTCTTCACGGTCTGGCCGAGTGCAGTGGGTTTCGGGTGAACTTACTGCCTTGTCCCAGTGTACCGGGGAAATGGTTCTTTTTGTACTTGAAATCGTTACTTTCGAAGGCCATCAGGCTGAGGATTGCGACTTGTTCGGCTTTATTGGTGACTTTGTTTATATTGAAAGATTGGGAGATGGAGTCGGCGGCTGTCTTTGCCATAGCACATTCTCCCTTTGCTGGAGGGTCGTCGCAGGATTTTGATTGCGGAGCAATTTGTATCAGTTGGGCTTCCGTTAGAGAAATATCGTTTGTCGCGAACGAGCAGGAGTTTAGCGCCGCTGTGCAGAAGAGGGCGAGTGATAGGACGAGCGATGTGGCGAGGATCGAATACATAATATTCAGTCACACTTGAGGTAAAACCTGAAGCAATTCTATTCGTGCCGTCGGCTAGTACGTACTCCACGGCCAACGGAGTTGACTGTTGGACGGCCTCAATTCTGCAATGTCAAAATGCTAATGAATGCAGTCGAAACGAAGGGAGTCTAGACGCTTTGATACGTCCAGTTCGAGTCCCCTCGGCAAGCGAGACATCAACCGATAGAGAGCCTGTCACCGTTGGACAATCAGCACCAAACGAATCTCGTCAGAGTCAGTAGCCTCAGCGATCAATGGAATCCCCACGGGTGTCAGTCGAGCAGAGTGGGCCCCGTCGCTCAGCCAGAATGGCAGGGGTTCATCTACTGCGAGACCCGTCTGGCTCTGCACCGCTTCGCCGGTCGGCACGAGTGAATACCACCCAGCGTAGGTGATGACAACTTACAGCAGACGCACCACGGAGATGGGAAATCAGCGAAGCGAGTGTCAATCAAACACGACTACACGTGACCAGACGCTGGCATTCGGGCCAACAAGAGAGTGATGGAGTTTTTGAGTGGGGCTGTTGCCGTCATGCCCCGCTACTTTTCCAGAACAAATGGACGTTGTATGCTCGAGATGCTGCGCGGCTGCGCTGTGGCATGACTGTGCTATTATATATGACCAGTCTGTATAATGTGGCTTGTAGCAAGAAAAACGAATTCCGTATGTTCGACCTTATCAACGGCCTTGAATCTGTGGAGTAAAGTACTGTCTGTAGTAAAAGTTGATCGATCACCTACGAGGGATAGTGGCTCGCTTATAGGCTACAGCAGACCAAGTTACGTGATGTGGTCAATTTTTCTACAACCCTGAGGTAAGTGAGCTCCGTTGTGGATTGGTAAACCGGCTAACATACAAAAGATGAGGGCGTTTCAATACTCTTCCGCTGCAATGCGTGAGCTGCTGCTCAATCGTCAAGAGCTAGAAATCAACATCCAGAATCAAGCGCGCGAGACCGCGCTGTGGTATGCCATTCACTATGGAAACTACTCCATGGTCAAGAGACTTTTAGAACAACCCAAACTCAGAGTGGACATCAAACACAAACACGGCCGAACGGCGCTTCACCTAGCGGTCTTCGCTGGCAGGATAGAGTTCGTACATCTTCTGCTGTCAAGAGGCAGCAACTCTGATCTACAGGATGATTCAGGCGAATCGCCCTGGGCCTGGGCATGTCACTTCAATAGACCCGTGATGAAAATGATCCTTTCCAGCGATCCCGACTCCGACTTGTTTCTTGGAACTCAATCATCACGGGACGCTCCGCTACCGCTGCATCAGGCAGTCGCCCATGGTTCTCTAGCGGCTGTCCGGCGGCTTCTTAAAAGAAAAAATCTGGTACTAGACAGCCAGGATCGGAAAGGCTACACGCCACTCCATCTGGCCATCGAAAGCAATCGCCCTGAAGTGGTCGATTTGCTTCTGAGTCACCCGCGTGTCAATGTGAACTGCACCGACGGGGATGGAAATACGCCCCTTTGGCTTTCTACTTACTTGTCTTACTATGAGATAACCGAAAGGCTGTTGGCGGAGAAAGACATCGACGTGAACCTGATTGGGGGCCGTGGGAGATTCGAAATGCCGTCTACATCTCTACACCACGCCGCGGCCAGATTGGATACCGTGCTTCTACGGCGGCTGCTATCGGTGCCAGAGATTGATCCGAATGTTTGCGTTGCAGGTCACTCTCCAATCTCTATTGCCGCATCCCGCGGATGCGTGAGTGCAGTTGCTTGTCTACTGAATATGGCGAGCGTGGAGATCAATGGGAGGGGCTTCATAGATCCGCCAATCTGTCAAGCGGCTGCAAACGGCCATCATGATGTGGTCCGGCTATTAGTGCAAGAAGGCACACGTCTGAACATCAATGAAAGCACGATCGTATCCCACGACTCTGCACTCTGCATTGCTGCCCGTGGTGGTGACTTGGAGATGGTCCAGGCACTCTTGTCCCATCACCAAATTGATGTCAACCTCCGGAATGAATATTTCGAGGATCCGTTGATGTTGGCAGTCAAGGGTGGATGGCAAACACCAGACTCCAATCCTTCAGTTTAAAGAGATCGCTTGAGCTAGCAAGAGACGACTACATCAAGAGTGCTATTCGGAACAGAATGGAATCCAACAACTCTCGTCAAACATCGTTGAGGCGGTCTCCGAGGATGAAGTTTGGTGGTCTGTACAGTTAGCGACATATAGACCTGTCATGATGCAATACCAGAATGTTTTTCTCGGCATCACTTGCCAAAAAATGTCAGAAACAATATGTGTATCTCCCGTTGAACGAATTATTCCTAGTAACGCCACGTTCAGCCTCAACGAAGTCTAGCTGTTTTATACCATCCAATTATCAAAACTGGACTTGCAAACTATAATCAAGTGCCCCTGCAACTCTTTTTTTCTAGATCAAATCTTGTGTCCATTTTCACATTAAATTGAGTAAGTCGAGGTAAGCGGTAGGTTAGCTCGAGCGTGAACAGTTGGGGTAAACGTTGATCAAACCGTTCAGTCACTTTTGAAGGCGGTCGAGTTCAGGCCGGGACGGTCATGGGTGGCAATCACTGCAGCCGTAGGGTGACTGCTGGGCTATAAAGGGCCCTCGAGTACAATGTCTTTTGTATTTCATCCCAAAGGCTGCGATGGACCATCGAACTTCGCCTTCCCCATGTGACCGGCCAGCCAAGAGACAGTGCCGGTCTTCCCACGATCCAGAAGATGATAGCAACCTGCAAAGCCACCATCAGCAATTTGCAAATCCTATGGCCATTGAGTTTGAGGTTAGTCAAGCCCTTTTGGATAGCAAACGAACGAGATCACTAATACTGCATAGGTTCCAGTGCGCATACGCGGTTCCCTTACAGCGGAGTTCATGAAACTTCTACAACACAACGACGCCCTGGCTACACCATCCCTCAAACTGCTGGATCTGTACTCTTGCCTCTGGGAATGCTACGTCGTCAAATCTGCCGAGAAGATACGACTCGAGGAAGAGCAGCGACAGCTTCAAGAGTCAAATAAGTGGCTAGCAAGCGACGGCGATATCCTTCTACAGCTCTGCGATGACCAGGCATTGATACTGTGGGATCAAAAGCGAACAGTTCAAGCCCTTTGCAAAGGCGTGCTTTCATCATTGCAAGCGAGCGAGACTCAAGCCTGCGATACTGATAGGCATTAATCAAGTCTCATTGTTGTTCAGCGCTTGTGGGCGACAACGGCCCAAACAACCACCGGTGAAGTTCCGTTGGGTTTGGTGACGGGGTGTCAACGTTTCACGGCTGTTGATAGACTAAGCGTTTGGTTTTCAACAAGTTAGCATCTGGCCATCAAGTCCTCCTAATTTTCCATAGACTTTCGTTATCAAGGTAAATAAATTACCTGCCTACCCTGCGGCATTTCGTCCTTCCCAACCTTCGTAAAATCATACTTTCCACATTTCTGTAAATCCCCACCAGCCTTCGACGGCGAGTCTTGAACAAGAATGCATAAATCAAAGAAGAATGGTCTGTGCCCGTTATTTCAGTGGTTGGCTTGTGCTACAATTGGTAGACTGTGATTTGGATTTCGACCTTCATGCCAACTGGCAAGACTCCTCTGGCATACCGACACCGCCTCCTTGTCTCGCTACCGACTTCAAACATCATCGGCAAATCCTCTCGGATGAGAGAGAGCGTGAAGGATATGAGATTCAAGGTTCCTCCATGATCGAATGCTGTTTGCACCCCACTTACGACAAGCTGTCGGCCTTCAAGTGGATGGGTCCAGATCCTCTGTCCATGTCTACTCAGGCTAGCGACATATTCTTCTACATGTCAGCGTTCGCTTTCCCTATAGAAGTGCACTGGATAGAGTTTCGACTAGTACGATTTTACTGGAAAACTGGCGAGAGGATAGGAGAGCGCCTCATCCTACCCAAAATTGAAACGGCCCAGGGAATTCTCTGTCGGATACGCGGACACTTGCTAGACACGATCGCCCGGTCTGAGTTTGGTGCAATAGGCACTAGCTTCCGACTGTCCCTATGGCCTCGTATGGAACCTGTATAATACTCGAGTCAATCGGCACTTTCCCAGTTAGTCACGCTACAGACGACACTGTCGCTTGATCTGGAGTTTCTATGTGCATAATACATTAGGTGGGTGTAATTTACTGGTCCCTAAGATGGGCGATTGTTCGCAGACACAAGAAATATAAGCTTCTTTTCATGGTGTGATTCTCCTTCAATTCGACGTTATCGCAGTGTTTCTGCTTTGCTTTTAAGCAATATGGAAGATGATTCCAAATTCATGTAGTCAATCCCTCATTCTCCTCTTGCGTTATCCAAGAACTCTGCGAGATTAAGTATGGTAAGTCATTCCAGTCATCAAGTACGCTAACCAGCCTCTCCCGGGATAGTTCCAATGCCTGTTCAAAAAATCGCAGCCGGGATAGCTGCTTGTCATGGCTAACCTGAAGACAATCTCTCTTTTTCCGGTGTGCACCGGCTTCCTTCAAAACAAGGCTGTCCTGCTCTAGCATCTGGCCATCGACGTTCTTGGACACGCACGATTCTCATAGGCGTCTATGGAGTCCAACACGTCGAGCTGCTGGAAAGGCGGACTTGGGATCGTCGTGCTCAAGGTCTGCTAAAGCCTTCAAGGTCGGTTGAAATTCCTGTTGCGAAGGGGAGGGCTGCAATGGTCAGCAAAAGCACTTGAAGACGAATTTTTTCAATTACATACCAATGGGGCGTGGTCAGAATCTTCCTGTGATTTGTCTTTCTCGCTGGAGATTGGCAATTCATTGGGCTACTGATCTGTTTCATTCTCCTGGCCCGTCGAGCTGTTTTGGGACTCCATTTTGTCCGCAAGAGAAAGTCACGGGTCTGGACAATACCATTTCCATCGATCTTTCGTGATCTACAGACTGCGCAGACGCAGGCAACTATGGAGTGGATTTTACGATCACCACAGCTGTTGATTGGCGCGGTCAGATTTTGATGGAATTTTGATGGTTTTCGTGGGGCTGTTCACAGTGTATTGAACAATAGGGATAGTTGGTCGGGGAAACTGATCAATCGTGACGATGTTGAGGACCAAAGATCAACGCTCGTTGAGGATATGTATTTCAACCAAACACTTCTTTCAGTTTCGTTGAACGCTTCAGAAATCCGACAAATGGAATATTGTAGAGCCTTATAGTCATCAAAAAAGAAGTTCGAAAGGAAAAAGAAAAGAAGAAAAAAATTTGGTGTCTTCATGGTTGCAAGTTCAGAAGTTGAGTGTTGACATTGACAACGTGTGGCCAAGCTTCAACGAGTTGACGGGTCGATCCGGTCATTGATCTGCCCTAAAGCCTCACTTCAAAAGGGCGTGAAGGATTCACTTGTGAATCAACGTTTCCTGACCGACTCAACATCCACTCTCAACACCACTATTGCTCATCTCTCTCGCTGAGCATCCAAAGGCAGAACAATGTCACTGTAAATAGTTGCGGTAAAAAGAAGACATAGGTTTCAACAGGCCTCAATCAAGAGAGTTGTCCTGCAACCCTTCTACCAAGTAGCGCACTTACCTGACAGTATGAGCCGAGAAGCCTATAAATACATCCTCTGCCCCGGACAATTTGCTCTACAATTAATTCACTTGACTATGCAAAGTCGAGCAGGCTTGTGTCTTGAGTCACTTGATAAGTTCCCCACATTTGACCCAGTACTGAGTTCCACTGTACTGACGTTTATAGAATACATCGTGGATGAGCAAGCCAGATGGTGCCTGTGAGAGATACAGGTATGATTCCCGCCAGATGCACTGCTATTCACACCAGCCGATTAAAGATGTATATGCAAAGATGCCTCCGCCACAGCAGCCGACTGAACTGATCTACTGTACAGAGTCTGTGTATTTCCAAGATAAAGCGCGGATGTTCACGTCGAGCTATGTGAATCGTAGCCCGACCTGTCTCACTGATTCCGACGACGATGCGATCTCAATAGAACCGAGGACAATTGACCACAATACACGAGCGCAAGAGTCACAGCTCTTTGCCGTATCTTCGTCCCTAGTTTTGGCCACCAAAAAATGTGAGTCATGGATTATGTCGCCGATGTACAAGCTAATGAACGATAGTAAACATCGACATTGCACCAGAAGTCCCCGAGGATACAGCACCCCCGTTAGTGCTCTGCACAAAGCCACTGCCTACACACTATTCATGGCCCCGTCACATCAAACCACGCGGCAAAGAATCAGATGAAGAAGGAACGGGCTAATAACAGGTGCGGACATCCGATCGCGACCTTCGCTGCGCAGAAGCTTGAGACGTCCATTCTTCTTGCCAATGAGTGATTGATCGCATCCTCTGCTGCGCCATATCAGTTGTTGCGAATTTTTGTCCTTCAAATCACCAATACCATTACTGATTTTCATGCCACTGTAGGAGCAGCCATCGCCACTGTGAAAGATACCCGTTGGGAATCCTATCGCCGGAAATCCTATCGCCGGATCGGAGATAAGACCGAGGCGTCACAACGACGCGTGCCCATCGCATCTTCCGTATCAACCTCACCGCTCTCACACCATGAACGGCGGAGTTTATAAACCTCTGCCGTCCCCATCACGAGATATAATCCCAATATGGCTGTACAATTTCCCGTCACAGGTGGTTTGTCACGCGCCTTTGGCTCTCGGAAATTGCCCCGTGCATCCAGCGCGCCTTCTTCGAAGCGACAACCGGAGAGTGTGACAAACTGGATGCAACATCATGTCAATATGGAATGAACGGTGACGCATTGATGAATACGATTGTAAGTGATCTCGCCGGTAAGATATAACCACGAAGCAAATTGATCGTTTCGTGTCAAGCGAACTTTCTGCGAACTTCATGAACAGGTAAGTTACAGTCTCGCCTAAGTGATAAGCCTTGCTGACTCGGATCGTACAACAGCGCCCCTTATATTCCCTTCACTCGAGTCGAATGCGAAGCTAGCAATGTTGTCTGCTCGAGCTCCCCTATACCAACGTGATCGCAAGCTATCTGTCCCTTCCTCATGACCACTGGTAGCATGGACGAGGAATGACTGGAATGTTCACATCGTCTCGGCCCTTCTCTCAGTCGACACTATGCATCAGTCCTCGGTTGGCATCTCGCGTCTTTTCAGTCCTGGAACTTCAAAAGACCCAGGAATACTGGTTTTTTGTCTTGCTTCGTAGCAGGTGAGCCATACTGTACCTTCGCTATCCCCGGTGGTGGACTACGCTTCCAAGGACAAGGCCATCGAACCGATCAACCGCGCCCAAATGGTAGGAGCGCAAGCGATCGTAGGGAGATTCCTTCAGTTGCGATTAGCGTAGCGGAGGCGGAGGCCCATATTGCGACTGCGCAACATTGGTTATGGAGACGGGCCGTGAAGATGTGGACGCACATTCACACCCTGCCAGAAACCAATCCTCTTCGAAGGAATAGCAGAACTATACTTGCAAAGGCTGACGCTGCATCGTGCATTGTCATCGTGTGAGCATCTGGTGTCTTATTCTGGATGGAGGTATCATATGACTTATTCTTTTTATTTACTTAATATTATATTTATTAATGGTATTTATTAATTGCATGAGGATGAGCTAAACCGACATCGAGGTGCTGGTCAGGTTCCACGCCTTTGAACAAGAGGTGAGAGAGTACGCTCTACGCCAGTCATGCCCGGTGACACTTTGCAAAAATATTTTATATCGTAGATGACATCTCACGTATTTCAATCGATTTCGGGCTCATTTCGACTCTTCTGGCTCTTGGCTTCATTCAATATCGATCTAACAGGTAATATGACACATCCATGGATCGCATGTCAAGACTTCGGTTCATTCATCACCCGTTTGGCTTTGTTTCGATTTCATGTCGCTTTAGCCATACTAGGCTAGATTTGTAATGAGGAGTATAGGTAGTCTGTAAGTATCTCAAGGCTGCAGGAAGTTTCCAGGATCGATGCAGCCTGGACCTCTGATTCCAGAGATCCCAAGTATGATACAGAGATCCCAAGTATGATATTCCAAATCATGATATTCCACGTGATTCGAAAGCCTAACAGGGAACGTACTTTACTTGCAATGATACTGCGCCATTCGGCAATTCACATAGAGGATGTTCGCATTTCGATAAGGCGTAAAGTTTAAGCAAGCCATCTTGCATCTCACCATTACGTGTATAGTAGGAGCGTACGGAGTACTGGCAATGGAAAGCAGTCCTTGCTCGGTATTCTTCCGATGAACGTTGGTTGAGGAGGTACGAGGTCGGGAACATGAGAATTGAGTTCATATGCATAGCATTAGAACGTGTTTAGAATATGCACTATATACAGATCTATTAAATGTACAAGGCACATGGTAGGCACTAGTAGCATGCATGTTGCTGTTACAGGGGTGGAACACCCTTTGACTTTCAAAATATGCGCTTCCGAATGACAGCCAAAATCCGACAAAGAAGTGATGTTGCTCAGTTGACTTCAAGGCTTGCATACAACCTGAAGAAAATTTTTATCTACCAAGCACATACCAGGTACTTTTTAGTATGTCGTACTAGTACGTGTGAGGTGTGCATACACGGGAGCGGCTCAAGCGCCAGGCCCGGGGGCCGCCCTGCCGAAAGCTTCCAACACGGCTCACTTGGACTCGGACTCGACATTGCCAAGCAGTCCACCCAGAGACATCGTAGATAAGAAAACTCAGATGTCGAAATTGTTATTGAAAGATTTTCATGCAAGGAAGTGTGGAAACCCGGTATACGTACACGCACGCGTATGCCGTGGCCCGTGGAATGAAGGAAGGGAGGGGGGGTCCCTCTATCGTTCTCCTATTATGACGTCTTAAAAAGGTTTCCAAAGACCTGATGTGGCTATATCAATCTACTGATAAACAGTGACTTCGCTGTCTTTCCACCGAGCTAGAGGAGAGGGCACATGAGCTACATGATATATCCCGAGGTTTTGATATTGACCAACTCATGGTACAAACATTGCTCAAGGACGGTCTGATTACCGACCAAGAGAAGCATTCAGTAATAATGTCTCCGCCGCTCGATCCTGAGTACCTAGTCAAGTGGGAAAAGGGTGAGCCATCGAATCCTCAGAATTGGTCTACCAAATACAAATGGTGGGTAACTTTTCAACTCGGTCTGCTCGCTTTCTCGGGAAGTCTGGGCTCCAGCATCATCACGCCAGCAGATGATCTCATTGCCCAGTATACTGGCGTGAGCAATGAGCTCGTTGTATTGAATGTTACATTATATCTGTGAGTTCATCTTATCATTCCCATAGCACGGCATTGACATCTCATCTCTCAAGGCTTGGATTCGCTCTCGGTCCTATCATCTGGGCGCCTCTCTCAGAGATCTGGGGTCGAAGACTCAGCATTATCCCCGCCGTCTTCTGTCTGGCTCTATTCTCTATCGGCACAGGAGTGAGCCCAAATGCGTCCTCAGTTTTCGTCACCCGATTTTTCGCCGGGTTCTTTGGCTCAGCGCCTATCAGCAACGTCATGGCTGCCTTGGGGGATATGTGGAGCAAAGAGGCCCGAGGAACAGCAGTCAGCCTCTATACCGTGGCCGTCAATGGCGGCCCAGCTCTGGGCCCTGTGATAGGCGCGGCAGTGGTGATGGAACCCAATCTGGGCTGGCGCTGGACGGCATTTGTCCATGCGATCTGGGTCTTTTTTGTCTTCACATTGACGTATTTTTGTCTACCAGAAATCTACCCGCTGGTCTTGCTCAAGTACAAAGCACAAAACCTGCGAAAAGATATGAAGGACATGAGATTCTATCATCCTCATGAACATTTGAGACTAGATGTCAAATCCGTCCTCACGAAACAGCTCGCGCGCCCTTTGCGAATGCTCATCACCGAACCGGTCGTGACCTGCTTTGGCCTTTATGCCGCATTTGTATATGGGGTCTTGTATCTCACTCTTGAGGTATTCCCTCGTTCATTTCAAGAGTCTCGTGGATGGAACCCCCTTGTCGGATCTTTACCTTTTTTGGGATTATTGATTGGTGTCATACTGGCTTCAGGTTTGAATGTCTTGAACCAATACCGCTACAATAGAGTCTCAAAGGCGGCAGGGGGAACGGTCGTACCAGAAGCCCGGCTTCCTCCCATAGCCTTTGGAGCGGTAGTCCTCGTTGTTGGGCTGTTTTGGTTTGCTTGGACTGCTGAGCCACCCCACCATTGGATACTACCATGTGTCGCGGCTGTACTTATTGGTATTGGATTCAATTGCATTTTCCAACAGTGCTTGAACTTTTTGATTGATGTTTATAGGACCTACGCTGCCAGTACAACGGCAGGGGGTTACTTTTCTTCGAAGTCTCATGGCTGCTGGGCTCCCATTGGCAGCCAAGCCCATGATCAGGGCATTGGGAATTGGACCTGCAGTCTCAATTGTTGGAGCTGTGGCTGCAACATTACTTCCGGTGCCATTTTTGTTCATGAAATATGGCCCAACGTTGCGGGGATTATCGAAGGGGGCATCCGAAGATCTATAATGCGAGGTGGCTATATTCTATCGATGTTACGGTGGGTAAATCAAAGGGAAACCTCAGGTTCCGCTTTTCCAAATGCAACATTCCGCCGGTTCCTCGTCCGAAACCTGATCTGGTTCGATTACTGATGATGTGCGGGGCGTTCCGCATCAAATATCATGCAGGATGTTGAAGAACTATAGTCTCGAGGAGCACCAACGCGAATGAGTGTTGCCTTTATGGATCTTATCAACTCCAACTAGTCATGTAGGCTATTTGTAGCCCTCGATGTCCATGTATGTTCTAGTGCGTACTACCGACCATTGAATTGTTCCCCGTGTTCTGGATATTTGAGAAAATGAAGATGGAAATCAATAAACCGAGACTGGTCAGAACCACGCCACTGGAATTAACATAAAACTACGTAGACTTATTTAAATACTGTGCGGGGGGCTGTAGAGGCAGATCCCAAACTTTGTTACACTTCTGGTGTTTTGCAGGTTTATTTTTAGTAAAAAGTAAGGCGCAAACTGTTGTTGTTCAGAGGTATGAATTGTGTTTTTTTTTTTATCTCAGAGTGATACATGTGCCTATATATATAACAATGAGCCAAGTTGACTTCCAATCAACTTGGTCGTCTGTATAGACACCTCGGAGCTAATTCCGACGGTGCGGCTTGGTTCCTGATCTGCACCAGCCTCATGTCACAACAGCGAGACAAGGAGGAGGTGTCGGTATGCCAGAGGACTCCTACCAGATGGTGTGAAGATTGAGATCCAAATCACACCCTACCAAGTTTAGCACCAAAGAATCAGAGGAAGAATAAGTACAGACCGTTTTTACTTGACCTATTCACTGTTACTCTAAACTCGCTGTCAAAGGCAAGAGTAGAAATAGTGATTGGAAGAGAGTGAGAGAAATAGACTACTACAGTGTGAGCAGGAAATCTTATAACCTGATCCCAGTTCATAGCCGATGCTAAATCATCGAATGTCAAACTTTTGATGCATCAACGGCGGTGAAACGTTGATTCGATCGCCGCACCCAACAGAATTTCACCGGTGGTCGGATAGGTTTCAGAAAGAAAAATCATATTCAGAATAAAGATAAATAAGTAAATAGCCAGCAGAGAGCGACCGTCTTCACTAGCGCTCAATAGAACCAAGAGTCATCAAGGCCCATCAACGTGGTAGGCTTGAGTATTGCTCGATTGCAAAGCTGAAACAACACCATTACAAAGTCCTCGAACTGTGTCGCTGCTCTTTCTCCAGTCGTATCTTCTCGGCAGACTTGACGACGTAACATTCCCACAGGCAAGAAAAGTTTGAGGCAGGGTGTAGCCAGGGCGTCGTTGTCCTGTAGAAGTTTCACGAAGTCCGCCGTAAGGGAGCCGGGTGTGCGCACTGGAACCTAGGCAGTGTTAGTGAACTCGCTCGTTTGCTCTCAAACAAGGCTTGACTAACCTTAACCTTAATGGTTGCAGGGTTTGATGATTGCTGAGGGTGGCTTTGCATTTTGTTCTCATCTGTTGGATCTTGGGAAGATCGGCACTGTCTCTTGGCTGGCCGGTAAGGCGGGGAGGTTGAAATCGGATGCTCCATCATAGTCGTTTGAACAATTATGCTCGAGGGTCCTTTATAGCCTGATAGTCACACTGAGGCTGTTACCATGGACACCCATGACCTGCCTGACCTGCGTTCAACCACCTTAAAAAGAGTCAGTGAACGGTTGCCTCAACGTTTACTCCCACGGTTAAACTGTTGACGCTCCATCTCACCTGCTGTTTACCACCAGTTACTCAATTGAATGTGAAAATGGGCTACAGACGAAGTTTCTAGACAAAAGATTGTAGGAATTACCCCCTTATGATAATTTGCAAATGCAACTTTGTTGGATTTGACGGTATAGAACAGCTAGACTCCGGCGCAGCTGGACGTGACATTACTGTGAACAAACTTGTTCAACGGGGAGATACAGACAATAAATTCCGAGACTTCATGGCAACTGATGCTGAGAACAGTCTTTTGGTATTCATCACGACACCTGTAGATATCGCTAACTGTACAGGCAACCAAAATTCATCCTCGGAGATCGCCTCAACAAGTTTTGACGAGAGTTGTCGGCTTCGATCCTTTTTCGAATAGCCCTCCGGATGCAGACGTCTCTTGTTAGCTCAAGCGATATTTTCAAGCTAGCATTTGAGTCTGGTGTCTGTCAAAAGTGCATCAATAACCGAGAAATGTCCACCCTTCACTGCCAAAATCAACGGATCCTCAAAACATTCATTTCGGATGTTAGAATCAGTTTGATGATGCTGCAGTAGCTCCTTGAACCCCTCCAAGTCACCAACTCGAGCAGCAATGCAGAGTGCAGTGTCATGAGATGCGATCATGGTTTCATTAATCTACCGTCCAAATGCGACACAATCCACAACAAAAGCTCGTTGGTCAGGCCTCTGATGTTCGGCTATAATGCATTAGCTCATCGGTAAGCCTGGTAAGAATGAGTTGAATCGAACCATGACTGGACAGCGGGTTGGAGCTAGAAGTACATGAAGTGTAGGCGAGGGTGAGATGAGTGTTGTGAAAGTTGGATATGGAAGGCCTTTATATACTCGCCTCGGCTGAATCCCATGGTTTGCTAGAAGCGTAGCCTGTGGCTCCGCTGAGGTGCTTAGCCCTCACACGGGAGCATCAAAGCCCTGATCACAGTTTTTGCGGAGAATATCTAGAGTCTAGCTCCTGGGAACAACCTTGGTGTTCCCAGTAGCGTGTCAAGGGCCCCAGGAGATCGAATCTGTCTTAGTACCACGTAACACATCTATCCCCATAAGCTTTGAGGCAAATCACAACCTGCATGCACTTGGAGGTTTAAGGAGGCAGCTCTCAATTTTGCCGGTTATGCTACTAACAACAGCAGCCAATCCTTTTGCCAATGCATGGTCATCGCAATCTACAACCACAACTGTAGCTGATTGCAGCGGTCATCTAGAATGATATCTCTTCTCGCAGGCCACTGATCGGCCTATACCGGCGCATACCGCATCCAAATGCATTCTTCGACGTATCGACTGTTTCAAGGAAGCATTCCATGCCAGCAGCCACGCAGACCATCTAGGCAAGGAGCCTACGGCGATGGCATATAAAGCTGGCGAGGGAAAGCAGCAGATATTGTCCAACAGCACCAACAATCGGGGCCTTCCTTACAGTTGGCAAAAGTGAATTGATATGATGAGATTGCATACTATTCATCGTAGGCTGAATGAACTATAGCTAGTGTAGTGGGGAAACCGCGCCGCACCAGAGATGCGCCACTGTGGCTGGTTTTAGGGAGTCTTGTCAGATTTAGCTAGAGGGCGCGCTGTAGGAGAATCATACACTGGACACATCTTTGAAAAACAGCCTCTATTTCCTAATCTGGCCTCCCAGGGGGCCTGCTTAGTCCCCTATTCATTCCTGTCGAGCACAGTGCTCCCTCGCCGTCTTGTCTGCGATGTCAGACCGCCTATGCGCTCTTCCATTACACTAGTTACTTGGTACAGAAAAAAAAATCTTCCCTTCCATACAATGACTTTTCTCGTGTTTAATCTATCATGAAATCTCCAATAATGTTGAGGGGTTCTTTTCCGTCGCTCTGTTGGAGCAAATGAGTGATTAATGCCTCAGTCGGAACATGATTGGTCTTACCACAATCCAAGCACAGAACGCATCTGCTAGTCGAACGCAGAAAAAGTCCTGTTCTGTTTGAGTCTTTGCCTGCTCTGAAATTTGGTCTTCTAGCTTCTAGAATGGAGTGCAGTAAAAGACACCCACAATCGATTCCCATGTCGCTTCGTCGTCCCATGATTTGGCCAAGGTCAAGACTACTAGAGCAACGGCAGCCTCTTCGGGGATTCTCAAAATTAGTGGCAGTCACAGCAGGTAGAAAAATGGACATTCAAGTAGAATGATATAGAGATATATGAAGTATCACTCCTGGTGGCATACATGAGCTGGTATGGGATTAAATGTCAAATTCAAGTGAAAGGCAAAGTTTGCAGAGAAGGATAAACCAATGAACATTGCACCCGAGATTAAACTTTAATAACTGGAGTATGAACGAACGAGAAAGGCAGCAAGGCTCAGCATTCCAATTTTCAGTCGGTGCGTTACATTCGCGGCTATCATTATCACATGTGGCACCATATGAGAACGTCAACGCCATATGCGCCATTTCACCAGAGGCCTCGGGAATTTTCGTGTATTGAACCTAGATTGTGGAATGATGTGGTACATGAGCATATATCATAATTGAGATATTCCGATGCCCGGGAGTTAAGCCGCTACTTCAACTTGCATCGTTCGATGATTTCTCGAAATGGGAAAGCCCGTCAGTTGTTCTTTTCCTAGATGACGCATTACTTAGAGATGTTTTTTTTGTGTTTCTCTTCATTTTCCAACCACACCTCGTTTTCTTCTCCTCAGAAGAGGGGGTTTCTTACCATTTTTCATTGACTAGCAAGTGCGGTATGGTGATATATCGAGATCACCGGGATATACCACTGGTAAACTCGTGACCACACCAGAATTCGCGTTCATGGTTTATGTCAGGATGAGAATCTACAAATTGGCTAGTACTGAAAATTTTCAACAGAGTCAGTGAATTGATTGATCGAAGATCTAGAGATCAGTTGAGCGATTTTGAGATCTACTGTCCGTGCTCTGGCGTGACACAACGCGGTTTCCGAAGCCAGTTCGAATACCATACACATACTGGGGGAAACTGGGTGAACGAAGAATGAGCATGTCCCAAAGGGCCGTAGTGGTATTTGACCCTCCCTTAGTTCGTCAATATTCCATGTAAAGACTTTGTAAAGTTCACCTATTCGTTACTTTGTACGTGGGAGCTAGGAAGACCAGCAATGCTGTGAGATAACAATCGAAGTAGTCAATGGGCTGGATATCTGTAATCTGCCTCGTCCATAATTCCCATCACCTCGCTCAAGTGTGGTGGGAAATAATACAGGGTAAGTATTACATACATAATGCGAAGGTAATGTATCCAATATGCTTTGTGCTTCCTTTCTACCTCAACTTCGTATTCTAACCTATACAAAGGGGCGTTGTTTAGGTCATGCGTTGAAACAATTCATTGTTTCTTTTCCCAAATTTTGAAGAATGCGAACAAAAAGCGGAGTATAAGCTTGTGTGATCAAACACAAGCCTGATGGGCTAGAGACTTGCGGCCACGAATACGATTCCAAAGAGACAGGCCAGAACCCAGGCGACAGCTGCATGAAGACTTTGCAAATAAGAGCCGATGATAACACCTCCAATGACAGCGATCGGGTAGCTCTTCCGTAGTATTAAAACGAAGATTTGGCATCGCTCAACCCTGCTGGGTATCTTTGAATACCGCATTATTGTGATGCCTTTCTGTGGTTCAGGTTTGGCATTCTGTTCTACCTACCATTTGATCAGCATGCTTCAACGGTATTCTATGACTTGGATCATCCTTGTACACACCAGAAAGACTAGCTTCATAACCCCGAGGTGTGTGGCCGCTAATCAAATATATATAGGAATGGAATCCCCAACTATGGAGTTCCAGGTAAAGGGAAATGGTTTTTGACTTCAGGTGGGAATGTGCGACTTGTACTCATTACCGAATCTCTGCACAAAACGCTTGGAATGTGGAGCTATGAACGTCCCACCCGCCAGTCTCTGGTTTCGTCAGTCTATCTTTGCTACGGAATTTGAAATCCCACGTCAATCATTCCATTGCTTGTACTTTGTGTTACATTACTCCATTCATACATTCAGGGAATCTGGCAGATATCGCATCAGATACTGTCAGAGCCTAGAGAAACTAAGCACTGGTTAATAAGCTCTTGAATACACCAGAGCTCGGTTTCCAATGGTCAACTGGCTAGTTAGCCATCCCCGTGTTGGTTTCACCGAGTATTGGCATATTTGAGGTCTATGTCAACCTGCTCTCGATCGCATGTTTATTTGAATAATCAATCAGCTCCTTCATCCCCAAATCAGTTCCACTTGATGTCATTAGATGAATACTCGTCCATACGCTTTGAGTTTGTTCTGTTAGATCCACATGATATAACACGAGTCCTGTACTTTTGATCACGAGTTTTTACCCTAGCTTTCATTCCATACAATTTGACGGAGATTCAAAACTTTTAAGTTGGATTATTAAGGAATAATTGTGAGGATAGAGGACGTGAATGTTGATTAGTTGATTTGTAAAAATTGGTCTTTCCGCTCATGCGGTGCATCTCCGCTCACAATTGATTCACTTGGGTGCGATATCATTGAAGCTACCAAAGGAACTTTGATACGCAGTCGGCCCTATTTTGATTATCACGTGTTCTTATGCCACTACAAATGAGTATAGTTTCTTCGAACGTGCGAGAACTCTCAATCTCAGATCTACCTTATCCTCATATTTCAAACAAATATAGCTGGCCGCGTTTAGTCTTCTGAGCTAGATATACAACGGGCTGCAGTATGTGGAATGTTAGTTGTTCTGAGTGTACTAATCGAGACAAACACATTGAGGAAGAGGTGGAAGGCTCTTTGTCATTCTGACAGACGTCAGTTTTGGCAAGTCGCCAATTGAGCCTACATATAGATTGCTGATTCCACAAATCCCAGACACAAACGATTTTGTAGATAAGTTATTGCTCTGTGGTAAGAACTGCAGGTTGAGCATTGGAGAAGCAATAAAACATGAATAAATCTGAAGCTTGCCCTCTGAATGCTGCTGAAGTGAAAGGCTACTGCGTGGTCACTTACGAGAGTGAGAGATTGAATACATAAGAGTCAGAATCCGCCATATCTTTTGATCACCTTAAGTTATTTTAGGGAATAAAGCACTAAGCCAGCCCTAGTTAAATGCAGCAAAGTGTTGAAAATGAAACTAGATTGAAAATCGTCCTTCGGAATGGATCTTATCTTTCAATTAACCATCCCATTAAGAGCGTACCTTCATACAAAATGATAGGTAGTTCATGATGGAGCAGCATAGACCGACGTCACATAGAACTGCTCGCAAAGTCTGTTCAAAGAGCAAGAAATTTCTCATAATTAATTATGGAACAAGTGTCATCGTTTATACGTTGATAGAAAATACATCGACGGCTGCGCTTTCCCATGGACGCGTCACTCTTGTAATAGAGTTAGTCGGAGTATATAGTGTTGAGCAATAAGCGACTTCCCCGCCTGCTCTACTTTAGGGGTGGATTTCGAATATCGAATAGTCGAATATTCGAAAATAATTGAATTTCGAATTCGAATAATCTGGATATTCCTGCTTACTAAAATCTTTTCGAATAACAATATCTTTATTCGAAATTCATTCGATTAATTCAAAACCTAGCACGTGCTCACCGTCGAACCCTCTGGTTTATATACATCCCGCAACAATACCAGCCGTCTCATTGTTTCCCCATGTAGAGAGTGTCTTCTCAAACCTAACAAATCTCTACCACTATTAAAGAGTCTCTCCACTGCAACCTCTGATGCTGGAATCGCTAAATAATCCCTAGCAGCTGAGCCAACGCGTGGATACTCATGGCAATGAGCCCTCCACCAAGAGAAAAGCCACTCCTTGTCCTGTACAGCCGGATCCTGAGCTGTCACAACCCCATCTTCATAGTACCTGTCAATATCAGAGTGTTGACGTCTTGGTGGCTGTAATTTTTGAAGAATCCGGGCCTCTATCGTTCTTGCTGCTGGTTCGATCGGGCTACTTCTGACAGTGGAGTCCGGCCGAGGCGACGGCGGATACTGCTCATGAAGTAATCCTTTTATGTGACTTATAACCTTCGGCGCACTGACTTTGTCCAACACTTTTTCCAGCAACAATGTTTTGAATCGTGGGTCGAGAACTTGGGCCACGTAATAGGCATCTTGTCCATCCATTAGTTCATAATACTTTTTGAACTTGTCCAGCCCGGAGGATACTGCAGAAGCAATATCTGGACTTAGTCCAGAGAATTCTCCCTCCCTGGATGAAGCATCATTCAGTATATCGTGAAGATCATAGTAGATGGGTATTGCAAGGCTGATCTGGGGCTGGCGCTTGGAAACGGTGAGTGTGAACTCCTCAAATTTCGCAAGAATGAGCTCAATTTGATGGAGATACTCCCAGTCTTCAGTCGTGAAGGGTGGAAGGTAGGCTTGGTTGTCAATCCACTTTTTGATTTGTTGCTTTGCCTGTAAGGCGTCCCTGATCATTCGAAATGTCGAATTCCACCTTGTGTCAACATCATACTCTATGAACTTATCATTCAATCGATGTGTTTGGCAAACCACCTTCCATTGCTGTTTTCTCTGTGGTGTTCTTGCGATCCAGAGGCTCATGATTCGAAGGCGGGATACCACAGAGTGCATCCCAATCTCTTTGTTCTCCTGCATAAGATCGCATGCTGTAACTGCTGTCTTGTTATCACCAGACTTCAGCGCAGAGAGTATATCGTCAACAATCAGATTGAGGACATGAGCCAGACAGCGGATATAGCTGCCCGCTCCTTGGAAACGAAGGATCTCTGTCTCCTCAACAGCTATCTCAGGACGGTGAAGTTTCTCTTTCAAGTTGAAAAATAGCTCTGATATCAATGATTCGTTATTGGAGGCATTGTCCGCAGTGATGGTGAGAACTTTGCGTTCAACTTCAAGCTCCTCGAGTGTTCTGTGAAGTAGATCTACCATATTCTCTCCAGTGTGGGCCCCATGCATCTCGGCAAACTCAAGCACGCGTTCATGATAGTGAAAATCACTGTCTAACCAGTGACCAATCACCCCTAATATCGGCTTTGAATTCTTACTTGTCCATACGTCCAACGACAATGCAATAGTCTGACAGGTGTTGGCCAGCAAGCTGATGAGTTGTTCTCTGCACAGAACGAATTCAGCGTCAATTCGACGAGCGACGGCCTTCCGGCATGTGAATGGAAGTGCGATGCCTGGAGTATCCTTGAAGATTTGTTGAAATGCTGGTGACTCAATTGCCGTAAAAGCCATGTTGTCCAGGACTGTCCATCTTATCAAGTTTTGCTCCAGCAGTTTTGATATTTCAGTTTCTGCTCTCTTCCTGAACAGGCTGCTTATGGATTGCTGCTTTATGCCACCATCCACAGCACCATCAGTGCTGTGGAGGAAAATCTCATGTTTAGCAATATGATTCTTCATGTTGGAAGTCGAAGTTGCTCTCGCAGAATCGGAAGTTTGCCAGTTACATCTTCTGCATTGAATTTTTCGGTCCTCGGCTGGTCTCTTGCTCCCTTTCCGTGACCAGAATTTGCCCGGGAGTGGAGACATGATAAATTGCGCCCACAGCGAGTCATTCTGCGGTCTGCCGCGAGTTGATAGTGTAGAGCGCTGAGATATCTCAGACGATCCGCAGACAGGAAACTCCGTCTGCTGAAGCGATTCCACTGGAGAGCTTCGGGCTTGATCTAATTGGCTCGCTGAATCATCCGGTGTTATGGGCTCCAGGGTTCCGGTTAAGCCTTCCAAACGAGGTCTCTTAAAGATGCGGTCTTCTGTTGGCGCTTCATCGTCACTTCCATCGTTCAAGAGATGGTAATCAATTCTCTGAGATCGCCGACAGTGTCTGGGAATGTAAGGAGAGACAATTTCCATTGCAGGTGAAGAAGAAAGACTGCTATCAGCCATTGCGATAAGATAGACACGCTTGAATATCTTGATTCATGTTACAAGGTCCATATGAAAAAGGGGTTTGTGGTAAATGAAGAGTACGCGACGAAACCACGCTAAATCACGGGTACATTCACGGGGGCGTCAGCCAATTATCCTACGCGGTCAATTTCTTGGCGGAGTTTCGAATAACATTTCGAATACGGATAGTGATACCTCAAAACGTTTTCGAATTCGAATAAGGGAAAACTCTATTCGAATCCACCCCTACTCTACTTCCCAGGATCATTTTAATACTCAAGTTGAATTTCACCACCGCAATCCAAGCATGTGGGCATATTTTAGCACAATGACCCAAGGGACACGAAAATGATTACTCGCGAATCTCACGTGAGCATAGGTTACGTCATACACGAATCTCGCCCCAGTGATTAGGACTATCATATACGCGGCTAGGTCCAACTAAATGGTTGGATAGGTGATAACAGGGCCAACCTTGCCGCCCCTTGGTGCCGTTGGGTGGACTTGCTCATCGACAAGGACTGTGCAATATTCATCAGAGAGTTTTATCTTTCCCAGACTTGTCTTTTTTGGAAGCAAAGAATCAAGCACCGTTGTTACGTATATATATATATATATATATGTAGCATTAAAAAAATCTACCTGGCATTTTCTACATCTAGTATCCAGCAACGTACAAAAAGATTCATCCTGTATGAATGGTATTTTCATCCACATTGATTGGTAAATCAGTAATCACACGAGCGAAGAAGATTTCTCTTTAGTCGTTTGGCTATTTTGTTACTAGAGTCGAATGATCGTACACTGGTGGGTTTAATTTGATCTACATAATAGCAAAAAAAAAAAAAAAAACGGTAAAAGAATTAACAGCCCGAATCAAGTATGGATCAAATTCAAATTCTTGGCATAAAGATAATATGAGCTTGGCTCTGTCTACTTGGGCAATAACGGAAATTATTGGTAGTTCCGATAGGATGATATTTCTGCAGCAATTCATACCAGAATTGCGTGAAGCAGATAGCGGGGAATGCATCTCCGCCTAATAAGATCAATCCTAGCTTGCATTCTTGTTATAGATTACTTATAAGAACAAAACCAAGCAGAACGTGATCTGCGTATATCGTCGGAAGAATGGAACTATGAGACTACTTTTTTTAGAAAATGAATCTTAGGGTTTTATTCATGCATTCCTAGGTATCAACACCCCCCCCCGTCTCGCATTCTTTCTGAGTTCACAAAACTAGTGACATAATATCAATCAATTTTTCTAATTTGATACATTTCTCATATGATCTCTACTTCTCGCGTCTAGAAGTTCATCGGGTATCACAGTCGAATTTCTCCCTCGCCATTCAGTCCATGCAAGATGTCAAAGCGCAAGACACTCTCAACTTCAAATTGACCAAGTTCACTTTGATTTATCAGGTCTAGCCATGCAGAAAATGAAAGAAATAAATGTATTTGACCGTGGTATAAAGGTAAGGCTTCCGGGAAACATTGTTTTATGTTTGTTTTTCAATTTCTGCCCCATGCTAATCTAGAATTGACAACAACTTCAGAGGCCTGAGGCAGCCATGGAAGATAGTTCCACGATTGTGAACCTGGGAGTTAAGGGGTTTTTCGGTCCTGGCAGCCCCAACAAAGAACGATCATTTTGTTGGTGACAAGGAGCGAAAGCGTTCTCATATTTCTCTTTCATCCGAAGACAAGGTGAGATAATCTTCTACTACCTTGAAAATCGTTGAAGTAACTGAGCTCTAGCAGAAACTCGTAAATGGAGCAAAAAGGCTGTTGAGAGCAATCGACAAGGAACCATTAAACTGCAAATTGGGGCCTACTTGTTCGAGCAAGAACTCCATAGATGCGAAGAGGAAATTTTTGGAAATCAGCGGGAAAGCAAGTCTCTCCATATTTGAGCCTGTCCAAGAAGCCCACTGTATGCCATCGAGTATCTTGGATATCATCGGGAATCATCAACAGGATACGTTTGCCAGAAGCTATGAACTCACCAAGGACCGGTTTTATGCTGGCAGGGTTGACATTGAGAATTTCAATTCCCCATAAGCGTGGCGCTACATGCATACTGGTTTTCTTTCAACCGCGATCCCGGGTTCTTCGAATAAGTCTTTAGGCCTATGTTAGGGGGTTTCGGTACCCTAGAAAAAAAAATCATGTACATCCCCAATCCAGAATTTTCCTAGCCCATAAGTTACTCGCAGAATGAGCTCGATATATGAGCCAATAGCTAAGTCGCACCACCATAATTGACCATAGAATTCGCCCAAAGGTTTCAACGGTCCTCTTGACTTATTTGAAAATCTACGCTTTATAATTGCAAACAAGAGCTCGTTGGGCGATTCTAGATTCTTTTCAAGGATTCCTTGGGCCTGGCTTAATGCTTGAACTTAACGATGGGCTATTGCCAAAAAAAAGGCTATCGCTGGCAGCTCGGGAAATGACCCCTTGTATTCTTAGGATTCACTCTCCTACGGAACGTGGCCTGGATATTATCATCATCTCTAAGACGGTTCATGGATTGGCCATATAATATCTCAAGCTAATATTGATCCCAGGAAAATTTTCGATACAGAGAGTTCGCTTGGTCTTCTTGCCTCAAGGGACATACTTTTTGCTGTTGATTGACAACCTTCTGAAAACTTGCACTGGAAGTCAATCAATGTTTCCATCCGCATCTTTTTAATCTGCTATATTTTTTGCCAGATTGTTGAGAATCTGCTTCCAACCATAAGGAAACCCTCACTGTTCGGTGAACCAACGCGGCTGATCAAGAACCATTTCTTGAACCAGGGAGTTCAATCAAGTCCGGCTAGTGATCAAGTAACAAACATAGCTCAAGTTAATATTTTCTATGGGTTTAGAACTCACATGCTGTTGGTGTTCGGTGGTTTTTCATTTCAACGTTGATGTAAACGTTGACATCAATTTTCTGACATCATTCACCACCCGTACATCTTCGAAGGTGCTTATCTGAGGGTACTCAGCGAATATATCAGCAGGATACTACCAAGCTATTGTGAACAAGGCTAAAGCCTCTGGTGCTCCTGGAAGCGTCTAAACGACTCCACCGGTCCTAATTTCTACTGTGGCTTTTGCCGCGGCTGAATCATGACCCAATAGCAATTCCCTTCCCCATGTTTCTATTCAATAGCAACTACAATCTGGCAGCCAGGTTCCTCCAGGGAATGCACTTCCAATCAATTGGGTGTTGGAAGCACTCGGATACCACAGCTGGATTAAATGATCCGATCGTCGAACTGGTCTACGTACTATGATTGAGGCAACAAACCAACATCCGCAGTGATCCTGGTAGCCGGCATTGATATTGGTAGTCCGCGAAAAATGGATAATGGATATAACTTTGATGGTGGACATCAAACACTGAAAAGCTCATGATTGTCCCGTGGTGGATGCTACCATGCCCTCAATTTGCTCTTATGACTCGCTAGTACAGCATCATGACTAGCAAATCCAAAGAATCACCATGGATTATAAGCTGCCACAGGTACTAAAGAGGTCCAATACCCCAGACACAGAAGGACATAATAGACTTATATGGCAAAATGGTAATGTTATCTTAATCTTTGAGGATCCATCGGCTTACTATCTATCGCATGGAGGCAATGAATCGACCGAAAAATTCCGTTGGGTCGTTCGTCCATTTATGCACGGAAATCGCGGCCACTCAAGCCAGGTTCTACAACCGTATGTTCACCAATCGACTGCCTCTGTAGCTACAGAGGTAGCTAGATCTGTTGGCAGCTCGAGCAACTCAACGATGTCTCCAAGTGCGATAAAGACTGAAAATCAAGACAGGCCCACTGAACGCGAGAGAAAGAGGAGCCGACTCCTCATACCTCCCACGAAAGCAAAATCGACACTCAACCTCCGCATCTCAAATCCAACGCCGTCCACAACTGGCGGTCCAAGAGATGCATCGAAAGAACACCTTTCCCTCACAGCAATTAGTAGGAAATTGGTTAGCGATACAATTCATTACCTACAAACGCTATCCGACCGCATTTTGATCGCCGACATCATCTCCTCCACGGAGTGAGTCAAGATGCATCTCGCCACGCAGTTGCTACAGAGCAGCTACGCAGATATCGTTGCGAGAGAAGATATAGGAATAGATGTTGTGTCCGAGTTTACTTCCCCACCAGCACAGCCAGAAGAAAAGTGCCAGGCATGTGCTGCTGCGGAAAATGAGCGGCTGTACGACTGAGGGTGATTCCTTATCATTGCTTTGTTGACATTTTTTGATAGAATAGCTGGTTTTTTGAAAATGAAAGTGCAATATATGTGCGTAAACATCACCATATTAATTAACATTAACCAATAGGCCATCACTTGTAGACTGCCTAAGTCTCTAGTACTGACAAAACAGGAGAAACTAGAGCGTCAATGTTGTTATTCAGGGGTATGAATTGTCTTGTTAATTTAGAGTGAAACATGTGCCTATATATGCAACAGTGAGCCAAGTTGATTGGAAATCAACTTGGTCGTCTGTATAGACACTTCGGAGCTAATTCCGAGGGTGCGGCTTGGTTCCTGATCTGCACCAGCTTCATATCACAACAACACCAACCATTTAGCGATAAATCCTCACGGAGTTATCGCACCTTTGAAATCGGATCCATAGTTTGTTAATTAACATAATCCGCGTTACATGTATTATGCAAACCAATTGCCAAGGGTCCTTCAGATTACATACGCCAGCACTGTCAAGTCACGTGTATTGTCCCACCTGATCGGGGCGAGACGCAATTGCGTTCGCCGCCACTTGCTCCCACACACGCTGTTTCTGTTTCTTATAAAAAAAAACTTACTTAGATACAATCATTATTCTTCCGGGAATACACTTGGGCAGTTCAATATCCGATCAGTTCTCAATCTGACTTGCTTGAATTTGCCGAGGCGATCTTCATTTAAGTCTAGGGACTCCTTGTTTATTCACCGATTGGATACACATCTTCCTACGCAGCCGCCCTTACCTCTGCAACCCACAAAGGCCCTGGCTTTCTCCCTTCGTATCCTCGAACAGCCTTTCTCTTCGCCGCCCACCATGACAACATTGCAGCCTAGTTCGGCTGAGAACACCATTCGCAAAACCCACATCGCTCAGGTAAGGAAGAATCCTTCGGAAGAAAAAAATGTAATATATATACCAATCGGGGATTTCTGGATTGCAGCAATAAGTCCGGACATCATAAGCCCCCAATATAGCCAACATCTCGCCCACCAAGAACTTCTTATGAACAAGCCTAGCTAAATTTGTTCTTCGCCAGGTATCTTCAAATCTGCGGTTTCGACTAGGCCTGGCCAAACTCAAATATCAACATGGCCCACTTCACGGCCTGCACTCAAGCCAATTCTTGGACGGCCACATGCCCCTCGACATCTCGGCGGAGGTTCTACGCAGTCGTTGCGGAACCCTATTGATTTCTCCGCCTCTCCAAGCCTCGACCTACCAGGAACCACCTCAATTAGCCCATAACAAGCATGCATTCTCCTCCAACTCTCCAGTGATGCAGTCGATGAGTTTGGTCAGTCGCAAGCGTCTTCAGTCGAATCCAACCTCTGTGCGCCCTAAAAAGGTACCTCAAGTCTCGCGGAAGAGGTCTTACCGGCCGGCAAAATCCTTCCCTAGCGCGCAGGGGCATCCTGCAGCCTCTATGGCTGCGGTTTTAGCTCCAGAAACACCGTCTGTTGTTCTTCGACTGTCTGACGAAGAAACCGATTCTGAGCTGCCGCTACCTAATCGCCAGAAGGCGAGCTCGACCATAGGTTCCTCCCCACCACTCATTTTCCCCCGAAAGCACACACGACTGGCACGAACCGACCGGTATGTTGAAGAAGCGAATACGTCAGACTTGTCACCGTATGTGGTTGACTCCCCCAGCCCCGCCCATGTAACTGGAAGTAATCAGGTCTTCCCCCTTATATTCCTCCAAGTCAGCATGCAGTTTTGCCATCAAAGACTCGCATACTAGATGGCGCGATGTTTGGGACCCTAGGAAATTCGAGCCCACAGTTCAATTTCGCCGATTTCGTGCATCTGACTTCCAGCCCGACACAGGCAGCCCGGGACACCCGCACGCATGGCAATTCTCTTCGCACCCCTACCACTACTAAGGAGACTGAAAATAATTGAGCATAAGCCTCGAGACTCTGTCTTCGTTGCGGGGAGTCTAAAGGGGCTTTGCAGCTTGTTTTCAAACCGTGGCCTTGAAACTCAGTTTCTGCCTCCCATGGCTCTTCTCCGCTCATTTGTGCCAAAATCCGTTCTAATTTTCTGCTTGTGCTTCTTCGGAAATGCAATGCGGTTCCTGCTGGATGATGGCCGCAATAGCAATGCGCAAGATCCCTATATACGGTGCTGCTACTCTGCTGATACCACGAGCTAGCGCTCACTCCGTATCTGCTGCAACACGACACAGACCTTGACATTGTGGTGGAGCGACTGATACACACCATATTTCTTCCATCACCATCTGCAATGTTCAGAATAGTTCCGTACCGTTTATAACCACCCAACTTGCTGATTAGCTAGCCGCCAACCTGGAACAGACCCACACGTCCTCTGCATCCCAGCCACCACGAATTAGGTCGCTCTTCCACCAAAGTGAAAGAGGGGTTCGAGATATACAGGTGATTTGATTCTCGTCTCTGTATCCGAACGCGAGTAAAAGGTCTATGCCCAATAGCTTACTATCAGAAGTACCCACCAAGAGCGCCTTGTTGGTCTAAAATTCGAAATGACTTGCTTTAGCGCTTGGTGGGTCAGAGATCAGCAGTGATATGAGCATTCCGAACAAATCTAATTATTTTCACATAAATGTCATCATACATGAGCTACCTTGAGCACAGCGACATTTTCTACCACTCTAGAGTGCCCTTCATCCGAGAACCTTAACCCTTGGTGCTTAAAAACTGCATTTCGAGGAACAGCTGTTTGGTGATAATTCATTGCTACGTACGAGACCTACCGATCCCTCGATCGTTGACATAAATTTGATTTGAATTCAGCCAGGAATGGGGACGGGACAGTGAGTTAAAATGCTCTTGAATACCTGCCATTGGTCCTTGACGAGCCGGGTTGGGGTGGACATGTTACAATAATGCGTTTTGCTTACAACCAGGGTTTGCAGAACGCTTGAGTGTCCGATGCGGAATGACTTTCGGGTATCAGGCGGATGATAATATCACCTGATCATGTGCATAGCCGATATACGGGCAGACGACCTTGAACTAAGCGCGCACTATCATTGGCTCTTATCACGGACCATGGGCGGGGATGACCATCCATCTTCCCCGACGAATTGGAGAGGCTCGAGGTGATATGATCAGCACGAAAGCTTTTTATCCAAAAGGTCGCTAACTTCTGTCTTCCCTTAGCATTGTTTGAGGCGCAATCTCTATTATGGGATTCTGAAAACAGCGGTTGGTACATAACACCCCCGCACCGCGAATACATAACCAACGCGTGTCAACACACACAATCCAGCCACTTTGTGAAAATCTCGTACCTGCTTGCGCACGCCTGTCCATAATGGCCAACAAGCTCGAAGATATCAAGATCGCTCCAGATTCAATTGTCCATCACCCCGAGTCGGGGACCTACGAGCCTGATGACTGGCAATCCGAGACCACTTCGATCGCAACCGATTTATACAAGGGTTTCATGGAAAACGGGAGGCGGTATCAAACGCTCAGAAGCTCCGAATACTTTAGCCCTGCCGATGAACAACAATTCGAGACCTACGAGATGGGTCATCTCGCTGCCCTGCTCATGAACTCCGAGAGAGCAAATCCATTGTATTGTGCGCCAGTCCAGAATCCAAGGCACGTGCTCGACATCGGCACTGGACAAGGCGCGTGGGCTATTGACATTGCTGATATGTTTCCTAACGCTGTTGTTCGGGGCGTCGATCTCTTTCCCCCGCCAAATAGTTGGATCCCGCCAAATTGTCTATTTGAGGTGGACGACGTGTTGCAACGATGGACTTGGCGTGAGAAATTTGATCTGATCCACCTGCGCCATGGCATTGGAGCGTTTACCCCCGACGAATGGGAATACCTATATAAGCAATGCTACGACAACCTTGAGCCTGGCGGCTGGTTTGAGCAAATTGAGATGGATATCCGCTGCGAGTGTGATGACGAAAGTATTCCGCCGGAGAGCGTATTGCTCACTTGGGGACCTCGTTTCTTTGCGGCTGGTGAAAAGCTTGGGAAGCCGCTCGATATTACGAAAACAATGCGTTCATTCATTGAAACTGCTGGCTTTGTTGACATCCACGAAGAGACCAAAAAGTGGCCGATTGGCCCCTGGCCACGAGATAAGTCGTTAAAGGCTGCTGGTATGGTGAATATCCAGCACTGGCTGGCTGGAATGGAGGGATATTCAATGTACTTGCTCACGAAGTACGGAGACCCAACGCCGTGGTCCAAGGATGAAGTCCTGGTATATGTTGCTCAGATGCGCAAGGCATTGAAGAACCCTCGGATCCATGCCTATCAGCGCGCGAAAAGGATTTGGGCTAGAAAACCATCATCAGATGGGTTTCCTTGTGAAGACCATTCTTAGGGTATTTATCAGTGATTTTCAGATTTGCAGAGAATGATTTGTCATGTTTCAACCCTGGTAAGCTCGCCAATAGCTTCAATTGTTTGAGTAAGGGGTGTGTGAAACAAACCCAGCGTAGCTTGTTGCGCCGCCGACTACGGAGGCGAGTTGACGTCCGTGAGGGCTAGGCCGTGGCAGGAAGGATTTGGGTGGTTGTGCGGAAACCAGCGGACCGCACCGATTCGAGAATCAGCATTGACTATTGAAGGCAATGCATCTCACCCTATCAGTGTCATTAAACAAGTCGTGACCGATTCTTCGCAGCCTCGTTGAAGCAGTGTGCTTTGAGTGTTCTTTGTAACTGGGCCCGCCGGTATGACCGCATGCCCACTTTTGATTTTTCTGCCGTACCTAGGTTGTTCTCTGTAACAAATATCTTCTGCCATGCGAATGACCACTTTGGGAACCACGATCCAAGTGATCATGCAGGAGGTAGAAGGATGGATGGTCGACAAGTAGATCCCGCCAAGCCGAATCGACAAATGCCCCGGTGTAGATCTATTCGGCGCCCTATCTGGCATCGTTCCTCGATACTCTCAGGACACCTTACCTGCAGCAATGCCTGTGAGCCGACAGTCCGGCAGTGAGGCAGATCGTTGAGACTTGATAATCTGCGGCAGTACGAAGGACAGTATTACCGATTCCATCTAATAACATTATAGTTCAGAGGTATGAATTAACTAACTTTTTATTTCAGTGATACATAAGCCTATACATTCCGTTGAAATAACAAGTCAGTTCATACCTCTGAACTATAATACTAGCTTCCAGGGCGTTTCCTAGCGTCTCGGCCAAAGAGGCGACAGGATTCTCTCCCGCATACAAGGCGCGCAGGAGGGATTTCTATTGGTCTTTCTGATTCTGATTCAAAGGATGCTGGTAGTGAACTTGGGGGCCGTAAGATGTAAGCGGGGTTTCCTAGGATCCAGACATCTACGGATTCAACGCTAGGTCCTAGTACTGTCCCATATGGGTAGTTAGCTTCCTAATGGCCGAATCCTACAAGATGAGATGCGAGGGCGAAGCGCCTCCCCTCCCCCCCTGCTGACCTGTACCGTATTATACAACGTGGATGAAGCGGAGAGGAATCTTGCTAGCGCCATTTGTTCATTCAACACCTACTGCTTCCTGATTCCCAAGGCAGGAAGTGCTGATCAGCTCCAATGAGCCCTTTTATTCTGCTGTCAAGATTATATTGAAATACACATCTCAAGTACTGTGCAATTGTCTCATTGGTTTATTCTAGTACTAGTGCCAACTAAGTCTCTCGGAAACGATAGACAGTGCCAAGTGAGTCATTGTTATCATACCGTAATTATTTCATGATCTTGATTTTGATCACCTGGACTCGGATACCAGTACCCGCAGTGATACAAATAAGCATACAGTGTTTACCGCCGGGTCTGTTTCGAATATCGATAAAATCTTTTTCAACAGAGCAAATGACAAAAGCTTGCAGATCAATTTTGTTGTAGTAACCAAGTGCGCAGATGGTTGCATTACATCTCTCTTATGTATCGGCAAGCGCGGCAAGACCTCTATATATTCTGCCATGACCCCGGTAACAAGTTCTAAAATAAAAAGTCTGTTGATAGCGGAGTTCACACTGTGTTATATCTTAAGCCTGCCGAATACAATTTTGATAGCCAAATCCCGTTTGTACCAGACAGCATCGCCATTTACCGGCTCAGTCGAAGAGGTGGCAAGATCACGTGACCATCACTACAAACTTGCTCGAAAAACATTCCTAAAGCGTGCTCCTCTCGGCGAGTGGGCAGAATTGTGGCGAATCAACGCAAAACGAATGCTAGTACAAGAGGAATTTATGATACAGCGAGCCAGACATCACCATGTCATCTAAATAATCGATGTATACTTTGATGATCAAAATCAACGCATGCATGAAATCAGATACGCAATCGTCATAGATTGCGCAGATAGTAACCTTCGTCATGACCTCCAGCCTAAAAAAGGCGTCGATATACGGTGGTTTGGCTGTTTGTCACAGGCTGTCTTCTATCTCCATGCTTCGAATATTCTATATGGAACCATCAAACCGGAGAACATATGTATCGATCAGAGGACAAGTCCTGTTGACAGATTTTGGCTTGTTGCAAAGAAGACTTGGGAAGATAGTTAAAGGTCGCAGCCAGTGGAACCTATTGTACGAGTATTGCGCTCCTGAACTGAGTGACAAAGGCATATCAGAAGAGACAGATGTGTTCTCTTTAGGGGCTGTCTTCTTGGAGATGCTCATCGCTTTGGACTACTCCGACAAGTTTGAAACCCTTCAGTCTATCTTGAAGCGCCCATGCCCCTCCGATGGAATATTATCTTGTGCGAACAATATCCACCAAGTCATTCATGGGTTGAGCAGGAACTTGATGGTCTCGGTTGGCATGACAAGAGAATTCGCTCTAATGCACGAAGCAACTCTACTCCCGACTTATGCCATTCTCCTCCAGAAATTTCCCCAGGTGGGCGACATTGAACAAGCCGATAGACTTTTGGAGCCGTCTACCAAAGCCCGTATCTGAAAATACTTGCTTAGGGTGGTCACAAAAGAGATATTCTTTCAGAGACATCAAGATTCGAGGTCACGTCCCGGCGAAATTTTCAAGAATATACTACTCTCGATCAGAATCTGTGTATAATACGAGAAACCACCAGAAAAAGACTAACGAGACTCTCTGAGGTTCTTTGGAGACCTGTTGCACTCAGACACGTCAATCCGGACTGTCGAGGAGGAGCAGGTCGAGCTTTTTAAGAATGCTGAGGTATGTGCAAATGCCTCGTTCATGTGGCTGTGCGATCGAAGTGCAACAGCTAATTAGTCAGGATCTCCTGTCAATATTTGCTCACTTTCTTTAAATATTACTTTCTAGTTCTTAAGGCTTACTTCCCTCGTTCTATGATTATCCAATACATCTGAAAGTATTATGAGGAGGAAGGGCGACCTTGAGCAAAGCTGCGCATCAAATGAGGTGAGGAATTGACTGAGCTTCTTGTAGTATTCGCAAACAATTTTGGCACCTGCTAGCTCCGATAGACAACCGGACGAAATACACTGCTGTCTCTCGGATTCTTGAAAATATCGCGCTAGCTGTCTTGCAGTTTTAGTTTTTTCATTCGCTGCGAGTAATCCATCTTATTGTAGATTGATCGATTCGTCGCACAAATTAACCAGTCTAACCAGGCTAACGAGAACGCGAGAAGCAAATTTTGGCGGGGAGCTTGACATTGTCGTGCGAAAGCTTCAGTTCAAACGATGTCTCTGAAATAACAATGTCGTTGGATCGAAGGAGTTGAACTTTGCCCGATCCATAAATAGAATAGTATGTTGATATAGGCCCATCAAGTTGGTTGAAAAGCTTGCTTTTCCACTGCCATGCCGCTGGAACCATGTCAGACTCAGCTTCGGAGTTTCCTGCGACCGCAGACATATGTAGTTTAATTCCATGGTGAAGTTGGAGTCCAAACATCGTCGGATAATCCTCGTACTTCCTTAGGCAATCCAGAAACAATTGCATTTCTTCATCCTTGAACCATGTCGGAGGCCCCAAGATTTTGAGCACAAGACATATTTCCTTAGAGCTGTCGTTCTTTTCCTGGCCAACAGAAGGGATTCCGAAGCCTATCACCACTGGCTTCACGTTGTATTGTTGAATGATGTGTAGAAGCCAGTCCTCGCTTTTGAAAATAGTAGCCCAGAGCCGCGAATATGACTCTTGTGTCTTCCGCCGAGGCAGTTTCAGAGAAGTGAGCACATTCGGCTTGAAAATAAGTGGTGCAGAGGAAATGATGTGATCGATGAGCTCTTTGGGAAGCCTCCGAAGAAGTCTCAACCTGTCTTTTGTGTTCATCTTGAGCGTGAATGTTCGAAAACAAGAGAGTGATAGCCAATAGGACTCTATTTTTCGGATTATATATCTGCCTGGCACTGTCTCTTGGCTGGCTGATCAATGGTGGAAGACGAAGTGGGACAGCGCACTCTGGTAATAAGTGCTGGGCAAGACATCGTTCTCGATAGTCCTTATATACTGACTAATAAAGGCCAAATCTGAGCTTACTATCATTTGTCTCACCAGATCTAACTTGAGACGCACGTTTCTGGAGCCAGTTAACAGTAAGCGCAACTTTTGATGTTCAATCCCACCTACTGTTAACCTCAGAAAGTGATCTATAAGATACAGTAATAAATAACAGATGAGACCTTGAAACCTAAATTGCAAAAGTCTTTCTTAATTGTAGTCTGTAACCGCACAAATGAGATTTCAAATGCTACACTACAAACCTAGTAGAATTTGTTGAGGGCTCAGTGTGATGTTATTGTGGCTGCAAACCATTCAAAACACAGGGATGCAGATAATTCGTCTTCAAGTATTGCTATCTGACAGAAATCAGTGACCAATACTGTATGGGTTTAATTAAAAACAATGAATGTGGCAATTTAGTAGGACATGCTAACAAAGAGTAATATGCACTTTTTTTGTGAGGTGTCTGATATTGATGTCGTAAGATATTCAAGGTAGATACCCGAAAATCGACATGCAGGTCCACCATATTTCGGACAGTATTCAAAGAATTCAAAATAGTGACTCCAGAAATAGCATAGCCAATGTGTTCCCACAATCAGTTCGTGTCCAACCAGGATCATCGAGTGAAGATTCCAGGGTAAGAATTCGGATTCCTAGAAACAGGAAATGACCCCAGGAGGTGAAGATGAGTTCCCAAAGAACAAAAAGCTCCTAGAATTGCTCTTGGCGTTTTCAGTATCAATTTATTAATTCCAGTCAGACTAACAATGTGTAAGGGCCTCACGTATACGTAGATGGGGATTGAGTTTTGTAGAAGAATAAACAATATTAAGAATAGCTATAGTCGAATCTAGATACAAGACGTCGCGCGAGGAAGGAAAAGGAACAAGCTTCCTCGCGTTCAGGGGAACCCATGTACACCATCTCGGTCCCGCAGGTCATTTCTCCAAACATCCTGTATACTTCATGTATATCTCTGACAAAACCGAGTTCTACCCCTGGGATCTCCACTATACGAACCTGATTGAATAAGAAACGGTTTTGGGACAAATTGACTGGATCTGGGAGCTGTCGTGCTCTTGGGGCCCTGCTTCGGGATCCTGGAGTCAGTATTCTGCTTCTGAGCTCTCGGAAAGCCCTCACAGAAAACCTTCACCAGACCTGCGCACAAATCTGCGTAATTCGCTACTCCTGAAATGGCTTAGCCATAGCCCCAAGAAACGCACTTGAGGTTCCAAAAGTTGATGAAACAGTCAATAGGAACATGACTTTGGTTCCCCGAGGTAAAAGTACTATGCCCCAGAAGCTACGTCGGGTTTCCTGGGGGCTACGTGGCTCCCAGAAGCTGCTTCTTTGCCCCCAGAATCCGCACTGATTCCCCTGGGAGCAACAGAGCCCCTAGGATCAAGATACGAATTTCCAGGGCTGACGAAGCTGTCCCTTCACATCAACGAGGGGACCGACTGATCAGGTCCCATTATCATCACCAATACCATTCTGTCGTGAGTCGCAACCACCGGAAGTGCCCATGGTGCGTATATCTCTATCAAGTTACACCAGCCAATACATAAACCTTGAAAAGCTCGGCGGCAGCAGCTGAGCATCTCTCGTCGATGAAGCGGCGACGAGGATGGCATCGTAGAGAAAGGTCTTTGTATAATTCCTTTGTGTTAAATTCCGAAGGTATAAACCATACTACTGGTCTAGAAGGAAAGGTGTGGCTCATTATTTTGACATGAGGCTGGTGCAGATCAGGAACCAAGCCGCACCGTCGGAATTAGCTCCGAAGTGTCTATGCAGACGATCAAGTTGATTTGAAATCAACTTGGCTAACTGTTGTATATATAGGCTCATGTATTCCTTTGAAATAAAAACACAGTCCACACTTCTGAATTACGATAGAACTACTAGCCCACTAAGATCTGCTGTGATACGAACATCTCAGATGACATATGTATAGAAAGACTTTATGTATGGGGGTTGAGGAGACACAGTACTATATGTATCATGAAATGTATTGTAGATCAGAGATAGTTGCCCTTTCGGTTTAGCCGCCGGGCATTAATAAATTGCTTGTGTGTATTCAACCGGTGAACACTTCCACTTTTCAATCAGAATTGCCGTCCGACTTTAAATGCATAGTTTTGATATTTGCAGTACCACCCAATGGTGACTCATCTTGTGCAAATGCCGTTGGCATGTGCTACATATTTAGAGAGTTGCAATCAGCCAACAATACTTTATTTTGAAGTGACATGGTCATGCCCTACGGTGGTAGCGGCGAGTCACACTCTCCTACACACGCTGATGACACAGTAATAGACCAGACGCATACTGAGATCAATTTCCTTTTGGCTGCCTCTCTGACTGTTGAGTTTGATAAATTTAGATTGCAGAGGTTGTGGAGTAGATCAAGAGGTTGAATGTAGTGAAACATACATCAGAAGTCAACCATTGCACTGTTGAAAATCTCTATTCAACGCGATGTTCACCAGAACGTGAATTCTAAGGAAATTGTACAGTACTGTTACTTCTTTTTAAATGAAGATTTCCCTCGAAGGCGTTCAACAACAATCGACCCTTGTCTAGGCGGCTCGCGCTTTGAAGAGAATAATGAGGAAGAGTGGTGAAGAGAGGGTGATGAGAAATTCCTGTTCAAATATAGGCGGCCATCATTAATCAACGATGTTTATGGCTAAGGGGTATTACTAGACCGAAATAATCTAATTGATGCTATGTGACGGAGAATGGAAGGAATTTTCAGGCATGTCCTCACTTTACGCCTGCTTCATCTTCTGAGTGGCTCAACGATTTTACTGAAGCGGCCATGGGCTCAGTGGCGCTATATGATAGAAAGGGTATAAGTAGCTTCTTGAATCCCGCAATTTCGATCGAAGGGGCTTACCGACTCATCCAAGATTGCCACCCCCGATATAGTCTTCCGAGGGAAAAATGCCCAATCTCAAACAGATTCCACGGGAGATCTTTGATCTTATAGTGGAAGGACTTAGTCCTAATTCCACCAAGAGTATGGCAGATGCCCTTCTATTCAGTGAGCCCCAAGAAAACATACTTTGGAGAGCGATCTTCAAGAATGATGGATGGATCAACAAGGCTCTCCAACTAGGAGCTTGCCCCGCACTTATTGGCCCAACACTGCATATGATCGGGATGCATGACAACAAAGGATCTCAGCGTCACCACATTCTTTTATCAATAAATGACTGGTCGGGTGATCTTCAATACGACAAACACCTTCTTTTCGGTTCTCTGAGAGCAGGGTATCGTTACGATGAAACAAACCTCCGGGTCACTCTCCCAGAAATCACTTTCACAAGTCCTGATAATCGAAAGATGAAGATTCCGGAGATTATACTTTACGTGAGTGATGTGATACGATCTGATGAAATCATCCATCTTTCGAAGAGAGCTATCAAGAGACTGTTTGAGAAAAGCATGGTTCGAACACAGTACTCTTTTTCCAGTCAAAAAAAAGTGTGCAGTCTCGAGAGTCCAAACATTTATGGAATAGGGGGAAATATTTCCAAACGAGGTGGACTGATCCCTATTTGTGGGATGAATCCTGTTTGCAACGGGAAAACATGGCAAACAACTTTGAAGGCATCCAAATGCCCCCGCGTGAGACCAGTTCTTAGTGCCGGCCAAAAAGGTCATATCATCGGCTGGGAACGAATCTTGAGACACGAGCCTTGGTAGATTCAATGCATGTGTGCCGATGGGAATACAATGGAGAAAAAAGGGAGGCATGTCTCCCACTTCAGGATCACGTCTTTAATTATTCGCGTTCTACTCATGTTATGTATTCATTGTGCATTACAAAACCAGATTACCAATACGATAGTTGCTGTCATATTGATATCCAAAGCAACACGCAGACGAATGGGGAGTTCATCCTGGGTCTGACCTATTCGGCGCTCTCAAACATCATGCCTTCGCACAATCGTCTTAGGGACTCTACTATATCAAGGCTTAGGCGCTATATGAACAGCCAATAATAAGGAAGACACACGCTTGGGGAAGCACTACCAAGAGAACTATTGCCTTTTTAAGACTAGTTCACTATGACCACATTTCAGAGCGTAACATAACAGCAGAAACTTCTTTTCAGAATTCAGCTATACGGGGGAGATTGAGTGTGTTTTAAGCGACGAGGTATTGTCCTATTTCGGCCGTTCATAAGAGAACAAGTTGCCAAACGGCGAGTAGAGTAGGAACGCAGGTCGCGAGTTCAAGGTCAAGATACAAATCAAAATCTGCCAGTATCAGCACAAATTACTTTGAAACAACAGGTACAGACCATTCTTGTTTGATTCGTGCATTTTGCTTCAAGACTCACCGTCAAATGCTGGTGATGAAATACAAAGTATAGAAAGTAGCAACTCGACGAGTGTTAGGAGGAACAGAATGCTGCAGGTGGGCAGGAATGTAATTCATCTTTACAGTACTGCAGAGTTGGTGAGATAATTTACCAATTGAATTTATTGATTGAAACCAAAGCATTTTCATCGCTTGATCTGGCTAGCCAACCAATCGTGGCCAATATTGGAGCAGTATGCTGGGTGGCTTGATGTAGCAAGCGGGTGATGGTTGACGACCTGCTGTGCGTAAATAACCCTCAACCTTGGTGGCCGTCAAGATTTCAAAAGCCGACCCGAGAAATGAGCTGCCCAGGGATCACAAAGCCCCAGAAAATCGTACGTAGCTTGCAGAATCTCCATCCCCACCATCACAAATCATTCACGCCCCTGTTGACAGCTCTATCGGCCCTGGGAATGCAAATACTGGCCCTGGGAGCAAGAGAGCTC